AGATTGGTAAATCATGAGGCTTCTTCCTTCATATTAAGTATCTTGTCCGAAGGCGATAATTTTCAGAATTCTGTTAATTTTCCGATTATAGTATGATTGTGTCATCTACGCCACTCTTGACAGTAACGGAAGCAATCCTCATGAGTACAGCTCTCCATTGAGCCGCGATCAAGGATTTCTCATTCTGGATGCTTCCCGGGAAGTACTGCTTCGTTTCACGTATGGACTCTATCACTTTGAAAACAACCCTTAAAATAATGACACTTAGACATTATAAAAAAATGTGCAGGCAGATATTTCTACAAACATTCAACCGTTTACAGAACTTCGGAAATGCCAAACGAAGATAACTGCTATGAATAGTCGGTACGTCATGGTCGGTATGTTAATTTAATTAAAAAGTTCCGGTGAAATTAATTTTATTCACAAATTTTAAATTTCAAAGTGTTGAACTGAAATGTTGAATCCTGATGAGATGGTTTATTATTAAAATGATATTTTCTACATCATTAATTACGCGTCCCGGTAAAGACTCAAACAAAGTTAAAACAACAAGCATTTTCATGTTTAGCTTCTAGATTTAGTCAATTGAAGTACAAGCCTCTTTATCTTTAAGTTTTCGCTCGGCTCCAATTAGAAATTTGTCCATATTTACAGGGCACAAAAATATTTCCCGTTGAATCACTGCATTTGAAGTTTCTTATTTAATTATTAATTATAACCGTGCACACTTGCCTCGAGATAATTAGACGACTTTCTCAATCTCGAATGAGGTTCTCGAACCAAGGCGAATTATCGCCGAGGCGACGCCAGTTTAATTTTAATTCCAAGGGTTGGTCATTGACTCTTCAACGGAATGGAAAATTTGAGACCGGCACATGTTGTTGCTACCATTGTGGGGCGCGAGTTGTGTGATTGCAGCGTGATACGATGCCAGAGTTGCTAAAATAACGTCTTCTGGATGTTGGCCATTTTGGTAAAAGCCAGTCCTAACTATTTACGCTTTTAATTACAGAACACTAATAAAACTGGACAAAGACTTTGTCTTCTTAACTTCAGAACAGCATGCATAATAATTCCAGGCATAAAACCGTAAACTCTTTATTTGCCGAAACTGTCCGTAAAATTTAGCGCAACTATGACATACACTTTTTCCTATTAATAATAATAATAATGTTTATTCGTTTTCAACAACAAAAAATAAAAATAAAATGTAACAATAAAATTAAATATATCGAAAATGTATATGAATAAACATTTAAAAAATCACAGAAGTAGTATATCTACTTGTAAGTGATATAATGGCTCCGGTCGGTGGTAAGTATAAGCAGGGTAAATGATGTAATTTAAGGTATTTGGACGTAATCGGGTAATCGGACTTAAGTAGTAAAGAACAAACCACTTCCATTAATAAATTCCACATCGTTGTTTCCCGGCGAACCTCTAAACTCTGCTCCGTCGCCCGAACTGATAACCACATGCATTGCTTATCTCGCACATGGTATTGTTCATCACAGAACTAAGTGATTATTGATCAAACCTTTTTACTAAACACCCCCCTAAACACCTAACCAAATTAAGCGTTTAACATTACGATTAAGTTTCGATTACATATTCCCCTAATTATTCGTTTTAGTCAAGATATAGAATTATAGTATATTAAGTATGGAGAACGGTAAGGGATTTTTACCGTTCGAAGACAATTGTTTGGAGGAGGAGCGAAGCGACGACTCCAATTATTGTCTGACAACGGTAACCCTTAACGTTCGACGTGCTTATAACTTTTTTTGCGCGATCGAAATTAAAACTATGCAACCAATATAAATATGCACTAAGAAATTAACGAGCAGAATGAATCGAAATGATCGAAGTGGTAGGTAACCAGTTTACTTGTCAAAATTGAAATGAATAATTTCATAAAAATGTGCATGTGTCTGATGTAGTTTACTAGCTTTGCACTTCCTTTATGACTTTATGAGCGTCTTGCTATAGGAAACAGCAGCACAAATTGTACGTTTAATGTACCTAACAATAATTAAAGATTAAATGTAATGTAAGACTGTTGATTTTTAAAAAGGCGTCGGTAAGTATTTTTGCTGTTCTGTTTTTAGATCGGTAAGTAATTTTGGCGTCGTCGTAATCATAGCAACTGGTAAATTCTACGTACTGTCATGGAAACACCCATGGTAAATAGTCAGAAATGACCGATCGCGCAAAAAAGTAATTAAACAATTATTAACTAATTTTACAATGAAAAACTTTCCATTTCTGTGCCTATTATTTATTTAGCATATGAAATAAAATTTCCCGGATCTTATGAAATAACTTGAATGATTTTTTACTTAAACCGAAAGTACGTTATTAATAAGTAGTTTTCTTCACTACATGGTGACTCGCTCTCGTCTTCGGCATTGTTTCAGCCTAGAGAAACGCCCTCCCCCCCCCCCTCTGTAGTTTTGACAATATGTGACCCGAGGTATTTGGCTTCTGCTCTCTGAGGCAGCTTTTAATTATTTATTTGTTCAAGAGGGCAGGTTTCCCTTCTTGTGGTAAACGGCACATGGATAGACTTTGATTTCGTTAGTCTTCATTCTCTATTTCGTTTGACATACTTGAATTTCAGTTAGATTGTTTTGCATGCTGGATCATTATCGTGACATTTGCTGTTGTGGGTAGATCCGCGGTGTGTAAGAAATAGAGTGGCGATCTGTGGACGCTACCTCGTGGTATTCCATCACTTATGGAGTAGAGTCCTGTGTACTTAGTATCAATATTGACGACAATGAAGTAGTTTATGGAGAGAAGGGTTCGTAACTTGAATAAGAGGCAAATATGCCTCACTTTGTCGAATACCTGTGATACATCCAAAAAAGAGCAAGGCTGAATTCTTTTTTTTGTCTTTTGAACAGCACTATGAATCGGTTCAATCGTGGAGTGAATGTGCCTAAAGCCAAATTGGCTGTCAAGGATTGTTTCATTGATTTCCCAATGAATTGGCCCGCTGTATGTTCTGTAAATCAAAGTTTATGGGATGCGACACTGGCCGTTTAGTCGAGTGAGTAAGGTTGTTGGCCGCCCACCTGTCGCGAGATACAGCGGAATTAATGGCTTGTACGTGGCCAAATGGCTGATTCAAATTTGTTCGTTACCAGGTCACGACGCAGCGTGAAAACCGCTAAGTTAGCAATTTTATTGATTGAACGAGTAAATATGGCCGCTGTAACATATTAGCTACCATTTTGAGGCGTGTTATAAAATTGGTAAAAGTAGGAACGTATCCATCCATTACTTCTATTAAAGATACGCACTCAGTTAAATAAAAGCGCGACCGATTAAAAATGTTCGGAAGAAATTAAACGTGAAACAGTAGGAGCTTTGCATCTTGCATCGACCGCCAACCAAAGTATTGCAGGAAACTACTATTTTTTTAAATAGCCGTGACAGAATCCACGCACAAAGGTTTTTTGGATTTGTATTTCTTTTTAATAATGCGCGTAGTTTCAGGAATTGAGCGTGAAACCACGATAACTTTATCTTTATGCATATTTTTTAATAACAATAAAGATACCTGTATCCCGCTGATTGGATGTATTTTGTGCTACCTGAAAAAAGCAAGCGGAAATTTGCATTTCGAGAAACGACTATTAAAAAGCTTCGATTGTAGCTATTGTTGTGGATGTGGGAAAATATTTTTAACTTCTTCTAAAAGTTTATCGTATATTGCTTTTGTTTTCAAAGTAAACAATTGAGCCACTTCTGATAACGTTGGCAAAACAAATCGGCCGAAGGCCACTATAGCCCAATGGCTTGATTAATTTAGGTAATGGACTTAATCTTTGCGTTTTTCTATAATGCGGGATAAACATGTTCAAAGCAATAATTTGTGTTATGTAGAAGGTCAGTCTCTTATTGTAACTCGCTAGTTAGGGGTTGAACACCTTGCGCTCCTAAAATAAAATTTAATATCCACGATACTGGTAACAATTAAACTTTTGCAATGAAATAATTAATACCAGGACTAGTTCAGTAATAAATAAACCTTTTTAATTACTCTTACCGCTACCCTCATGGCTTAATTAGTGTTAATGGAGAAATATCAATTGTGACAAACCGTCAATTAGCGTCCTTCCCCACGTTGACGAAAATGAGGATGACGTTGTCGCAAAACTTCTTGTACTGAGGCCTCGCAAGAGATGCAAACTGCTGGATCTCCGACTGAGCTTTTGTCTATCCGACAATCATAGAGAAATCACGCTCATTTGGAAAGAATTCGATTCTTATTTTTAAACAATACAAAAATTCAAAGGAACTTAGTTTGATTGAAGCGTTGAAATTTTCTACAATTGTCAGTTGGATTTCTCCTATAGATAAAGCAGCAGCAATTTGGATAATTGGATAGTAGTACAAATGGACTTCCCGTATTACCAGTTGAATTGGGCTGCTTGTTGACGCGTCGTCCACCACCACCCTTCCTCGTCCCGGAAACGTGCATTTTTCGTACTTATGAAACAAATAACTATTTTGGGCCTATACACCCTATACGTACGTAAAACGTTATATATAGCTAGCCGTCACGTCAGTCAAAAATTTTCTAGAGGTTTTGTGATTTTACATAGAATTTCAAAATTTTATTTTATTTTTAGAAGTTCAACCATTACAAATGTTGCATATTTAACTGCAAAAATGTAATGAACGTTTTTACTAAAGTTTTTTCGTCATTAGTGCATTTTATTACTAGTCGATATATCTATACTAAAATAATATAATGGCGGATGTAAGTAGTTAATGAAACCAAGATTTTTTATTACTGAGATTCGTTTCTGAATTTCGAATTACTTAGGTACTCTGTTCATAACTTAGTTTATAATTATTGAGATAGAGTTTTCGCTGTTTGAATGCTTGGGAACTTCTCCATCGGTTTAGAACTATTTAACTATATGGATGAGACTACTATCAGCTCCGTGCGCTTATAACAAAATAAGAGAATCTTTCTGTTTCAGAATCTCAAAAATCAGATAATGACGACAAACGTTTGGGTACTGCAGGTAATAATTTGTAATATTTCATTAAGGAATTATGAGAATCTTGGATGAAATCCTTGCAGGAATGGAACGATTACAAGCTAAAGTGGAATCCTGACGATTACGGGGGGGTTGAGACATTACACGTGCCCTCTGAACATATCTGGCTGCCAGACATCGTCCTTTACAATAAGTAAGCATTGTCTTCTCCCTGTTTGCTTTCCGTTTATGCTGGAAACGTCGATTTCAGTGCCGATGGCAATTACGAAGTAACCATTATGACTAAAGCAATTTTACACCACACCGGAAAAGTCGTTTGGAAACCTCCTGCTATTTATAAGTCGTTCTGCGAAATTGACGTCGAATATTTTCCGTTTGACGAACAAACTTGCTTTATGAAATTCGGTTCGTGGACGTACGATGGTTACATGGTAAGTCGTATAAAATGTTACTAATGAATAAATACATACTTTTTCATATTCCAGGTTGACCTTCGACATCTCTCTCAGGGCCAAGATTCTGACAACATAGATGTAGGCATAGACCTTCAAGATTATTACATATCAGTTGAGTGGCACATAATGCGTGTCCCCGCTGTACGCAATGAAAAATTCTACAGTTGCTGCGAGGAACCCTATCCCGACATAATATTCAATATAACGCTACGTCGAAAGACACTCTTTTACACAGTAAATTTAATAATACCATGCGTCGGTATATCTTTTCTATCAGTTCTTGTGTTTTACTTACCGTCAGATTCGGGTGAAAAAATTTCACTGAGTATTTCGATTCTACTATCTCTCACGGTGTTCTTCCTCTTATTAGTGGAAATTATTCCACCGACTTCCATAACTGTGCCTCTGTTAGGTCAATATTTGTTATTTACCATGTTACTCTGTACATTATCCGTAGTGACAACGATCGCTGTGTTAAACGTTAACTTTAGATCACCAGTAACGCATAAATTAGCACCGTGGGTACGTTATTTTTTTATCGGCATCCTTCCGAAATTCTTATTTATCGAGCGTCCCAAAAAGGACGACGACGATAACAAAGGTGGGGATAGTATGCTTACGGACGTTATCCACATACCTGGATCGGACAAGTTTAAAGCTTACGATAATAATTCCTTCGGTGGAAGTTTTGATCTGGGCATACTTCCGCCGTCAAGATTCGACGTTGCCGCCTCGGGAGGTATAGGCCCGTGTTTTGGAGAGCCGCCGTTTCCCGCTATGCCACTTTCTGGAGGTGACGACGATCTCTATAGCCCAGCTAGTTGTAGAAAAAATACCTATGATGGTGCAAACGAGCCAAGTCCTATTTTCGAAAAACTTGGAATACACGATATTGAAAAAACCATCGCCGATTCAAGATTTATTGCTCAACACGTTAAAAACAAAGACACATACGAAAATGTAAGTAGTACACCCTCTCTAAGCATTTTATGCAATCATAACGTGCTATTAAGGTCAATAAACAATTCTTGAGAGAACAAGTGAGCTGAGTTGCCTCAACTATAGCTATAAACTCCAATCCAGTTTGTCAAGCTTTAACCCTAGAATAAATACAAGTATTGAAACAATGCTAATAGCTACCGTCAATTGAGCATTGGATACACATAATTATAATAATTAGATCAGTTTGGGAACTTAACTTATTATAACGAAATACATTTGTTCAAGAATCGGGAGGATCTTTACCCACAGGCTCTAATTCAAATTTATGGCCATCAATCTCGGTAACTAGCACTATTTTAGTATCAAAAAATGGATGTTAACGATTTACCCTTATATCTATTACGTCAAATTGCAGTAAAGGCCACCATTGAAAAAGTTGCAATTTGTAGCATTTCTTGATGTATTATTTGTATTTCCTTATTTATTATTTATTATTATTATTTATTATTACCTACGGCTGTAGGAATTATTTTGATTTGGAAAAAGAAGACAAAAGTGACGATTCAATTGGAGCGATGAGATTTATTTGTTGACTTTCCAACTAGTGCAAGTTGTCGACAATACGCGGTATATGCCGTGTGTCCTGCAATAATTTCTTTGGTTTTAATAACTAAACACTGTACTGGCGTGCTTTAATTTATATATATTTGTACATATATCACTAAACTAACTCGAACGGTCTCACTCTTTTTAGCCTTCTGGTGATGCCATCAGTATCCAGGAGCTGGAGAGCCTCGATATTGATGTGCCGATGGAACCGCTGTTCATGACTTTGGGCATACTTTTCTATAACTTCGTCAATCGTCAGCACATTCAGATCCCTATGCAAATTGACGTTTCTTATATACCACGGGGCATCAACGATACTACGGAATATTTTACTTTGAACTCGTTGGATGATGTTTCGATTGCTTTTTTTGGTGCAACCCCACAGTTGTACACCGTAGGTCCAAATTGGTTTTAGGACTTGTTGGTATAAGAGAATCTTATTGTATATTGTCAAGTTTGAATATCGGCCCATTAGCCAGTACATCTTCCTGTATTTTAATTTCAGCTCCTCATGCTTTTTTTTTGACATGGGGTTTCCATTTGAGTTTAGCGTCCAGAGTCATGCCTAGGTACTTGGCCGTATTTGCATATGGTATTATTACATTAATTAATATATACTGGTTTGTACTCTACTCGTTTATTTGTAAAGTCAGTATGCACCGATTTACTTTGGTTTAGTTTCATGCGCCACTTTATCTGTCCAGCGGTATAGCTCGTCCATGGATTCTTGCACTCCTCTAGTTGACTCCACGTTACTCGCCCCGGTAGCCAAAATTGCGGTAGTTCGTAGGTCACTTGTATAGAGGGGGTATAAAACCGGTCCCAACACACTTCCCTGTTGCACTCCTCCTCGGACTCTTTTCAGGTTGGAGTATTCATTTTCTTGCTTGACTCTGAAGTATCTTTCGGTCATGTAGGATTTTAATATTTGTGCGTATTGAGCAGGTAGGAACATTGTGAGCTTATAATTTAGCCCCTCAAAAAATAATATAACATTATTGTTATTATATAATATGATTACCAGTTGCTGTAATGGTTCGGGGAATAAAGGCATCACACTTCGGAAAAATTCCGGGGAAGTTGGAATCCAAAGCCATAAGTGACAGGTCAAGTTAATTTACTAGTTTTTCCTTTTATTTGTGAGAGATAATATAATTGTTTCGGAGATAATGTGGACATTAAATAGTTATTTACATAACCGTGCGGAAAATGACACATTACTGGCGAGGAAATATTGAAGTGCGGGGCCCCCTTTGAGGCCGAGTACTAATTTCCGAGCCACATCGTTACTTTACCGGCCGCATTTGTGACACTACTAAATGTCTATAATGACTCATGTCATCACTGACAGATTGACATTAATCAAAAGGTCTATATGAAAATTGAAATTTTATATGAAAATACGATTTCGGGTAAAATTTAATAAAAAAACTCGCCAGTAAAATGACATTACCTGACTCGGAAAGTAAATTACTCGGTTGGGGCCTCGTACTTCAATATTTCCTTGCCAATAATGTGTCATTTTCCTGACTTATGTAAATAACTATCGTGGACCAGTTGTCCCAATTTTACAGGTAATCAGGTTACGTATAATATAGCGTGTTCTTTTTCCTAAAGCGAAAATGTGCCCCTGCGCCACGATTGTGTTCCAACTCTTATCAAAGTGTATTAGTTTCTTGCCTATATACCTAAGGATCCTGTCCATTGAATAAGCACCTTATTCAACGGTCCTGTCCTAAGATTGTGCACTAATTTTCATCTAGACATTTGTTATCTGAGGTCTTTGAACGTGAAATTAGCGAAAGCGGTTAGTTAAATTAGTATTAGTAGTAAGTGTTTTATTACCACAAATCTGCAACAATATAATACGGACACAGTCTGTCAGGGCTGGACTGGTTTGTAAATTTTTTACCGGGAAATACTTTTAGAAGGGCCGCCTATGTGATGTTTTTCCGGAAAACCATATAGGAGGCTAGCTAGCAAATAAAATAATACACATAACTTCATAACTGATAAAATAAAAACGTATTATTTTAATGTATCATGTACATGATTTATTAAACCAGTTTCTACTCCTATCAAAAGTAATTCTTTTGCCATTGCACTAATACAATTTCTCGTATTTACCAATATTGTATTTTGATTTATGACTTTGTTTATTCTATAACTCTGTTAATAATTTTCTTTCGCTTTAGTTATAAATCTATCATTATTATTTTTGTTACATTTTTGTTAATTTTTCTATATTTCTGTGCGGCTTTTATTGAACAATATTTAAGTTTGTCCTGTATTTAGACTAGATAGTCTGTTTGGACAATAAATTATTATTATTATTATTATTATTATTAATTCTACGGTTAGTGCCTTTTTGGTTTCAAAATTATTCTGAAAAATCAGATGGGGGTTGAGTGAACGCTCAGCCCTCCCAGAATTAAACCATTATATACTGAAACGACGGTATTACGCACTTCGATTGTGCTTAATTGTACTTTTGTGCCGTTTTAATTTAGGAGACGTTTGAAAAATTCAACAAAAATTAAATTTTTTTATAGGTACTTAAACGACGGTATGGCGTAGTACTTCGATATTGCTTAATTGTGCTTCTATGCTCACCGTTTGCGCATTTTTGGTTTCGGATATACATACTCGCAAATATCAAATGGGGGTTAAATGAACTGGGATGTTAGACCTGTTACACAGTATTTCGTGTAAAGAGTATGCCTCTTTTCCAACCCAAATATTTTGAAAAAAGGAAAAATCAAGTCAACACCTATAGTCTACAATTTTTCTTCCTGTGTTATATGGGAAAATGTTTACTTTCTAATCTAATTCCTTAATACCATTCAAAAATCCTAAGATATTTAGGAGATTTTCCAATTCAAAATAAAATCCGACTAGCCCGGAATCCGTGTAACCAATGTCTACTGTAATAATAGCCACGTACTTATTAATAACAATATTAGGCATTGAATTAGCCCCCCCCCCTCGGAAAACTCCCGTTATCCCGCCTGTCCAGTCCGGCCTGATTACACAGTTACTAAATATCGAAAATATATTTACATAAGTAACAATCTAGCCTAGAGTCATGTAAGATATTCAAATTGAAAACCCCCTGTTTCAATGCATTTAGCGCCAATCCTTCGCAATTTTTGATGTCACTACCTCTTATTGCTCGGTATGCGCTGCATTTTTTGGTACGAAAGTAAAATCACAAATTTCAAATGGCCGTAACATCATTTTAGATTATTTGAATAACAACTGCATTTCGAAACACCAGATTGGAATTATGAATGGCGCTCTTAAGATACCTAAATCCTCGGCAAATAAATAACAATACATTAGTAACATGGTTTAAAAATACATTCTAAATAATTTCTTGTCCCCTGGAATTCTTCGCCCTCATAGAAATCGGTTTGAACACGAAGCCTTTTTTTGGTTAATGTTAGCCCGCAGGTATGTGAAGATTAGCAATTGAAAAGAAATATTGAAATGAAACTGTTTGGCATCTCGTCCAGGTCCATATTCGAAGAGAACTCCTTTTCGAAAGCTGTGCTGTGTTTTGTACAAAAAACGCTAATTCCATCCTTTTATGTGTTATACGTATGACTCTTGAGAAACAAATTAAGACGCTCTCAAATTGTGAAACCTTTGGAAATGCAGCTCTCAAATGACTTAAACTCTCAGTTTGTTTAGAACAAATGTTCTCTTGGCCCCCTCTGTCAGTCAATGTTTTGTATATATCTACTTAATTCTGGCCCGTATAAAGTTATGTCAACAAGTTAAAGACCTTTACTATTAACTTCAACTCGCTACAATATTTCTATCACTCTCTCCAAAAGTGCGTTACGACACCCGAGATGAGCCACCATCAGCTTAGCTTGAAAAAGTAATGGACCGAACAATCATTGGTTCTGTAGCGATTCGACTTTCAAAGTAATTTCGTTATAGATAATTGTCCTCTTCAGATACAAAGTGCATGGGTTATTGCGATTCAACCACGGGTAAAAATAAGTCATTGACGTATTTTTTTAATACTGGAATATGAGTTCAGTTATAGATGATCTTTATATCTAGAGACGAGTGTTATTTATGGTTAGAGAGAAACTTTATTTACTAAATAGAATATTAAGTAGAAAAGAAAAACAATGCTTTTCTTTATTAATTTTGATATCCCCGATAGTGTAAGCACTTTGGCAAAAGTCCAATTCAACTTATATTTCATTTCCAGGTAGAGGAAGACTGGAAGTATGTCGCGATGGTACTCGACCGTCTTTTTCTTTGGCTGTTCACCATAGCTTGCGTAACCGGAACAGCGTTAATCATTTTTAAAGCACCGTCACTTTACGATAACACAAGACCAATCGACATTCTCATCTCAAAAGTCGCGAAAAAGAAAATGGCACTACTCAAAATGGAACCTGAGGAGCTATAAAATAGCTCACCAGCGACATGTTGTTATGTTTTATTACTCCATGCGATAATGACGATAATCATTAATATAGAATTGTTTTGTTATAATCATGAGTAATGATACAAAATGTTGACACTTGTTTCATTTTTACTAAAAATTGTAGTTTAAATTTTTATGTCTTTAATCTAATAACTGTTTTTCTATATGACTTTTTTCTTCTTCTCTATCTTTACCTTTTAACGTTCACGATTTCAGGGGCAAAAGTTTTCCTTTAATTATCCTTACCTTAACTGTCATGAATAACTTTCAGTTACAGCTTGTTCACAGAAACCTTTCTGCTGTGCACGAAGAAACACACTACCATTTCAACTTGTCTATTTCGTAACAAGATGATGAATATCCCTTACAGGCTGAACATCGTTTGGTTGGACAGAGTATAAATAACAAGTTTTGCATCTCGTGTATACCAGCCACTATATCACATTCGTTTGCAAAATCAAACAATTTTTCTCAAGGACTTAGAAGTTCGACAAAAACGTTAACATGGTAAAGATATTATAAGTACAATTCGTTCCTTGGGAAATTGAGAGTTTCCGCAGGAAGTACTAAAAATGTATATGTATAGAAAGCTCCTCCAGTCCTGGAAGCAGTTGCTTAACAAGCAATTTATGGAACTGCCCTTTCGCTGCCCCTCATACGAAGTTTAGGATGTAGTATCTGCGGATTTGCAAGATCTATTCGATAATGAAATGTGCTGTAACCGTGAATATTTCAACATTCTTTCAGCCGCCACAGTTGTGTAAGTCTTGCAAGCCCCCCCTCCACTCTCCACGAAGGTCCGTTATGTCTGTCATCCCCCCACGCTGGACCTGGAATTTACTAAAAGGTAAGTACATAATTACAAGAAACTATGGGTGAGAATAGAGGTTTGTCTGAATATGTAGTTCAGTCAGAGGATCTATGTACTCAAAAATGCTCCATATGGTTCATATACTAACAAATAGATTATAAAGTAAACTAATTGTAACTTGGACAATCCCGTTGTTGAAGTTGTGTATTACCTTCCTGTAACGAACTACGTGTCGCTTTTGAGAGAAAAAATTATCAAAAAACCTAATTTAAAAATGCGCTCTATGAAAAGAAATGTTTTAGGGTAGATCATTGGCGGAACCTAAATTACTTCAATATTCAGGAAAAAATAATAAAAGAATTAATTCGCCAAAACAGCTCAAAAGATAATCTTAATTCCACTTTCTTTCGGAGTTGTACCACTCTCACTTATCGTTTTAATTTTTAAGGTATCGTCCACCCCTCTTCATGGGATTTGTGTAGGTTACCACAACAAATCCCATGATGAAGGTTAAAAAAAGCGGCTTCTTTGGACATTTTTAGCTTCCTAGCATGTGCTAGGTAGCTATTGCGATAGCAGTTTTTTGAACATTTCAAAATTTCATCAAATGTCGACGTTTTAGACCATTTTAAGCAACTTTTAAAGAATCAAATTTTTTTCCGTCTGTATCGTACGTACGTTTGTTGGCAATTTTCTGAGAAAACGGCTCGACGGATTTTGTTCAAATTTTGTATATATGTTTTAGGCATACCGAACAGAAAAATAACGGGCCGGATTTTTGAAAAAAAATTTTGAAGCGCCGTAACGGCATCGAACTTTTTTTTTCAAATAGCAACCTAAAATTTTTATTCTATTATTTGGAAGACCTTATTTTCCTGTGTACAACCTACAAAAAATTGGGCCGGGTTATATTATCAAAAAACGGAGAAAAAAATTGTCAAGTCAAAAAATTGTGTTGCATATGTGCAAAACGCAACGATCTTGTTTCTGAAGCAATTTAAACGAAATTTCTATGGTAAGTCCCTTTAATAAAAGCAAACAAAATTCATGCGCAAAAATCGTGTTGCGCATGCGCAGAAATGCAATTTTCTTATTTATGGAACAATTAAAACGAAATTTGGATGGTAGGTCCTCCTAATAAAAGAAAACAAAATGCATGCGCAAAAAATAGAGTTGCGCATGTGCAACATCAAACTTTCTTATTTATGGAGCAATTTTAACGAAAATTGGATGGTAGGTCCCTCTAATAAAAGCAAACAAAATGCATGCGCAAAAATCGTGTTGCGCATGCGCAGAAATGCAACTTTCTTATTTATGGAACAATTTTAACGAAATTTAGATGGTAGGTCTTTTTAATAAAAGCAAACAAAATGCATGCGCAAAAATCGTGTTGCGCATGCGCAGAAATGCAACTTTCTTATTTATGGAACAATTTTAACGAAATGTAGATGGTAGGTCCTCCTAATAAAAGAAAACAAAATGCATGCGCAAAAAATAGTGTTGCGCATGTGCAACATCCAACTTTCTTATTTATGGAGCAATTTTAACGAAATTTGGATGGTAGGTCCCTCTAATAAAAGCAAACAAAACGCATGCGCAAAAATCGTGTTGCGCATGCGCAGAAATGCAACTTTCTTATTTATGGAACAATTTTAACGAAATTTAGATGGTAGGTCCTTTTAATAAAAGAAAACAAAAAGTATGCGCAAAAATCGTGTTGCGCATGCGCAGAAATGCAATTTTCTTATTTATGGAACAATTAAAACGAAATTTGGATGGTAGGTCCTCCTAATAAAAGAAAACAAAATGCATGCGCAAAAAATCCAGTTGGGCATGTGCAACATCCAACTTTCTTATTTATGGAGCAATTTTAACGAAATTTGGATGGTAGGTCCCTCTAATAAAAGCAAACAAAATGCATGCGTAAAAATTGACATTTTAGACCATTTTAAGCAACTTTTAAAGAATAAATTTTTCCCGTCTGTAAGTGCGTACATATGTTGGCAATTTTTGGTTTCAGCTAAGAAGCTATTCTGTCAAGAATTTGACACCTGGTTTTGTCTACAAGAGGACAGTTTTTGGCAACATTAAGGTACCTTAAGAACGTAAATAAAGTCGAGTAGACGCCAACGTCTTCAAATCTGTTGGAGATTTTCTCAATACGTGTACAGAATTGGCAGTTTACTTCCTACCAAAGCATAAATTTTTTGAGCGTTTTTTATAGAGAATTAAAATGTGTGGAAAAAAGTCTATCGACGCCGAGCTTTTTAAAAATGTGAGTGTTTTAAGTAAAGCATTCAGAACAACTCTTGAAGATTTTCAAGTAAAGAAAACTGTAGCTTTGAGACCCTCAATTTTAATTTTTAACATGTCAAATAGATGCTATATACCAAAACTCGTCGGATATCTAAGTATATGTGCAGAAATTGCAGTTTTTACTTTGCACAGACAGACTCATTCAAGAGGACCGAAGGCAGAAGCTCTCACCACTTCAGTGGGTTGCGAGAAATGCTGATGTTGATATAGTAGTCTCTGTTCCAACAGATATTGTTGGGTAAAGGGTTGTTGAAAGTATCCAAATAGCGATGGTGACAGGTGAATGTATTCATAGAAAAAATGGGTTTCTCTCGGGCTCTAAAAACCACTACTACCTACTGTTGGCTACTACTCTAGTGACAGTTTGCACCAACAAATTTAAGCGGAACTTAGCTTAAGCGTACCTTAATGAACGATTTTTCTACAAGACGACTTTAGATTTTCAAGCAGTGCTTCCAAAACTTCTTTCCACGTCGCCCCTTTTCTGAAAATTAAAATTGCTCACGCTCCCCTCCACGTCTAAAAAGTAAGAACTGCATTTACTACAAAAAACGTATTTATTTAAAAAAAATTAATTAAATATTTAGTTTTTTTTGTTCATTTACACGATGGGGACTCGTAAGCCCTCAGAGATACAAAAGCCGCTTAAATGGGCAAAGGCACAGATATACTTCATATCTGTGGCAAAGGTATGTACAATTTTATGCGTTCATTTATTTTCATAGATATGAAAAAAAAAGTTTAACAGACCCTTAGTGATTTTTTCTCAGCTTTTTTTTCATAAAATCAATATGAGTACTTTAAAGGCAAATATCTACCTCAAACACCTCAGGGATCTCGCGCCTCCCGCTTTGCGCCCCCACCCTCTGTTTGGGAGACACTGCTTTAAAAAATTGACCGAACTGTAAGGTATTGTTCTCATTTTATTCTATTTTAATACACAAAATAAAGAGTTTTGTACTAAACTTTGCATTAGCAGGTAGAGTAAAGTCTTCAGACAATTCTTCTTGCCATACAATTGAAAAAGGCAACTCAATTGGAAAAATATACAACTTCAACGTTCTTTTTCACTCACACCCTTGAATATGAAAAATTTTAGCGCATTTTCCAACGAAGTTGGGTGAGCTATATTGCAACCACTTTCTCTGTCCGTCCGTCTGTCCGTCAGTTGTTCTGTCCGAGGCGGTAACTACTCCTACAATTTTCAAGATTTTAAGTTCGTTCTTTTTGCATTCGGTTGCGTATAGCTCTAGTACCTGATCCAATGAAAATCACTATTCTCTATATTATGTTTATTGTAGTAACGCTAATAAGTATATGTTTTTTTCCGATCTTTTGCTTCGATCCCCACCCCCACCAACACCTTCGTCAGATTTCTTGTATAGTGTTAATAGGTTAGATACCACTGACCATTTGCTATTTTCTGTCGAATAAATAATCTAGGTACAACTTGTATTCGTAAACAAAATCTTACAACTGTAGTAAATAACTTAAATAAACAGCAAAATCTTACGATTAATATAATCATCTCTGATAGATGATTTGATATACCTAAAGATTTTAATTTTAAAAAAATTAGCTTGTCTTTTTTTATAATAATTAATTTCTATATTACCTATCAAAGAGTATATTGTATACTCTTTGATATTATTCAACGATCTACACATGGAGACAGACCTTTCATTCTACGAATTGGTTTACACGATTGTAACGTTGTGAAGATTCCTATGGAGAAAGGGTTAAAGTTGCCTTGTACAAATTCCGAAGACAATTAATAACAAATTTACATGAAATCATATCAAGAGTTGCTGGGTAGTCTTGCCCTGATATTTGTTTCCCTATCAGTTATCTTGGTAGATTTCAACAGCACCCTATACCATACAAGCAACAAGAGCATTGCCAATCATTGAAGAGGGCTTGTCCGTAATTACAAGGGACCAAGAAAATGGTACCAAGATTTACTGTTCATAATAACATTCCACTTGTGGGGTATGCGGATGCTGACTGGGCTGGATATACTGCAGATCGGAAATCGACAAGTGGTTTCACCTTCAAAGTTTTTGGCTGCACTTTATTCTGGTTCAGTCGAAAAAAATCTGTACTAGCAATGTCTTCTAGCGCAGCAGAATATGTAACATAAAGTGCTGCATGTGGAGAAGGTATGTATCTGAATAAAGGGAATATTAGAGTAAGTATTTGGAAGGTCTGATCGTTAAGGCTACATTGGAATGGCCAAAAATGGGGAATGGAATGATCAAAGTAAAGAATATCAACGAAAGAGCAAATAGCTGATATATTGACCAAGTCTTTGGATGCAACACAGTTTTGAGAAGTTAGTAAGTATTAAGAAGATCAGAGCAATCGTTTTTTGGGATACTACAAATAACCATTGAAATAAAAGACTACAAATAACTGTTTAGTTGAAAAAGTCAATTAAAATATTCTTCTTAGTTCAATTGAATAAGTAATTTACTTATTCAATGTTAGTTCTCATTAGAATTTGAATCAAATATTACCACAGTATTACTATATTACTACATAGATATATAAATATTTATAATTAATTAATTATACCTAATATAAGTATTTATATATCTATGTATTACTACCGCTAGCGCTGCCATCTCTTGGACGTATTCGGTATAGCAGAACTAAATGTAAGGTGCTACAATCTAGTGAACCTATCGGGGATCGACTACACAGCTAAGTTACAAACCACTTCTATACTTCGCAAGAAGTCTGTAATTGCGCTAAGTGATACAATTGTCAAATATGGTAAACAAAAAAAATTGGATGATGTACAATATTTCGAATAACCTATAATCTCCAAATTTTCGATTAAATCAAAGCGTCATACTGAATTATTAAGTTTTAAGAACAAGGCGAGACCTACAATGCGCTCGACAGGTAATGTGAATCATTCATTGAGTTGGGTAACTGTGGTATGTTCGAAACATCTCGGAGCATATAAATAATTTCGAATGTTTTCAGTTTGTGCCAATCTATTAGTTTACATACAGCATTAAATGTGCCTTAAGTAAATCGATCTTTGAATAATGTGGTTTTACAAGATTCTTACGACATAGGTTAGAGTAATTATAATGGACGAAAGAAGAGTCGCCGATTATTTTGTGGTCGCCGGATTACCGGATGATCCAGAGCCGTTGGATGATGTAGCTCTTTCAGATGCTGGGCTACTCAAAAGCACTCATAGTCAAGCACCGATTACGGATGTGGGAATCATTTTTCCTACTTTAGATGAAGTGGCACCTTCTGGTTACGAAGTAATTAAGCAGACACCAACCGGTTTAAGTGCGGATTTAAATCATGGTAGTTTGAGGAGTCCTGAGTGTTATATTTGTTACAAACGGGACAGAGACAAACCTCCTTTGGTTGATATTGGTATTATCTTACTAAGTGTGCTGGTGTAATTCATATATGTGTCTTTGTAGGTGTTATGTACGATGGAAAGGAACAATTAATGCCAGATGCAGAGCTCGTTATTAAAAGTGTAGGCGACCGAGTAGCAAATGTTAATAATTCGGCCACTCAAACGTTTATAACATTTCGTAGAGCCGTATCTACATTACCGTGCAATGCATTGGTTGTGACTGACATTTGTGTTGTGATAGCAAGCAAAGGAGAGTCGCCCCCGCATGCCTTTTGTTGTATTAACAAGAATCTTAACAAGGGTATTGTCGGTAGTGATGTTTTTCTTTGCTATAAGAAATCAATGAATCGAGCCACACTGTTAACTTACCGCCCATCATGTTTATACAGGTAATTAGTGTGCCTTTTGTGGAGGCATAAAATGGTTACATGTAGATTTTATTTTGTACTCGGACGTTTAAAGGTTCAAGTTTGAATTTAGAGTTTAAACTGCACATTTTGTAAACGATCTCTTCTTGCAAGTTTAATATTTTCTTATGGAAAATGCACCATTTCTTTGTTAAGGTTCCCTTCTTAGAAAATGTTTACTAAATTTTAAGAAAAATGTGGAAGATGACTCCTAGATCTATTGAGAGGGAATTATTTCAATTTAGGAAAACTCCTATAAACTTCTAGTGGAGTCTAAAAAGGTCTGAAAGGATTAACAAATTTTTAAATGATACTGGAACGCTCCAACAAGTCGCTTAGGTGCTCTCCAGGACTGTTAAAAGAGCCTAGGGAAAAAATGTAAACCTATGTAGCATGTTTGATGTCACAGACTTGATAAGGTACCTATCTTGTTGCACAAGGTCATTGGTCTTGGATTTTCATTAAATTATTTAAGTTACTGAAGTTAGTGAAAAAATGTCTCTTCTTTACAATTGCTGCTTGCAATTATTTCTGAAGCTGTCCACATCGATTAAGAAGTAAATAACATAGAATCTAGTGCTCCATTCATCCAACTTCTGTCTGTTGGTCAGTTTGAAATATCAGCACTCTTTTATGTGATGGACTCGGTCGTGGAAGACTATTGTTTTCTTATTTATTAATTTTCCATGTGGAAAAGAACGCCAGATAAGTTTCAGTTTCTGTCAATCAAATTTAAAACCCAGATACTTCCCACAGACGTGACGTGAATCTAGTAAACATGGGTGGGACATGGGTCCTATGAAATGGGTTTGCACATGTGCAGCTCTCCTAGATATAGAACATTTTTTTTCAAATTTTGATAGGTATGGATACTACACTGATCTTTGGTATCTCTGAAAAATACGCTTTAGCCATTTGTAACCGCTATGGATTGATTAGTTGTTCTGTCACCAACAGTGTTTCACATGTTTGTTTTTAAACTAGGCACAACAGAAGCCGGATCTGGTTTTCTGTATTAGCATAATTATGTCACTAGCTAGCAGCTTTACTTAAAAAAATAGTTATACAGGCTGTTATTTGTGTAAGTGGTGTAAAAAATCAATAAACTTTAATTTTTGGAACTTTTAACAGCTTTGTGGACATTTTTAGTGGGATTGGAGAGCGTAACAATATTTCATTGGCGGCGAACATAGTTTTTTTCAATATAGTTTCTGCATATTAGTCCGGGAATAGAGACTGAAAATGGACCATTTCCTGCAAAACGAGAAGTAGTTACAATCTTTTTTGCATGTCATGTAGGAATACCTGGTGGTTAAGAATCCAAGTTTTCGACCTCCCACCCCTTGTGCTTCCCCCGTACCACCCCTAAAACCAAAGAAATTTGGTTGGTTTTTTAGTTTTTCAATCATATCTTTTTATAGGTTTACTTTACAGAAAAATATTGTTATTAGAAATTGTAGAACAGCAAATTTTAGATAAATTTGTCATATACTTTTTTTTTCGTAAATTATTTATTTCAAAAGATACAGAGTTTCAAGGTTGTTTTTATTTTGAAGATTCCGAAATTTCTATGTAGGTACATATTTTAACGAAATTGTATGTTATCTTTATAATCATAAGATTTATATGAGAAAATTACTCGATTATGATCATTTCGGTACCCTGCACCCCTATCAAAGGGGATGATGGCGCTTCAATCCCTTGATCGTAGTAGGTATTTGAATCCCTGTGTGATTATGGCGCTTTCGAATACAATTATCAAATAAGAAAAGTGGTCTTACTTCATTTTAACCCCTTCCATTTCTTACAAAAAGGGATGATTACTTCAATCCCCTATAGTAGTGATTGTTCGACTATCTAAGATTATATCGCTTTCGAACACAATATACAAATCATTATTTTATATATGAACATGAATAGTAAACATTTTTTATTTGCAATGTGTATTCAGAAATGTCATTATCTAAGTGTAATCGAGCAATCAACAACCGAGGATTAAACCACTCATTTCAGTTGGGGGTGGAAAGGGTTAAACCGGAACGAGAATATGAGAAAATATAAGTAATAGGCGTTGTACTTACTCTCTAACTAACTTATCAATCGCCACAAGGAGTTAAATGTTCATTCCTTCCGGGGGTGAGGAGGGGGGGGGGGGAAGAAGCTGAACTGAAGTGAAACAATGTTTTTTTATTTCAAACATATATTAGAAAGCGCTACAATCTCACAGTGATTCAAATATCCCCACTAGCAAGGGTTGAAAGATGAATTATTATGCATCCCCTTTGGTAAGAGTGCAGGGTAGGGAGATTTATATCACGATAAATTCAAGATATTTTCTCATAAAACTCTTAATTATAGAGATAAAGATTAAATTTTGGTTAAAACATATACATAGAAATTTCATAAATCTTAAAAATATAAGCAACTTTGAAGCTCTATATCTTTTTTAATAAACATTTCACAAAAAAAGTAATGTATGCCAAAATTGTGTAGAATTTTATGGTCTACAATTTCTGATATAATAACAATATTTTTTTGTCAAGTTAATCTATAAAAAGATATAATTGAAAAACTAAGAAACCATCCAAATTTCAAGAGTTTTGGGGGTGGTACGGGGGAAGCACAAGGGGTGGAAGGTCGAAAATTTAGATTCTTAACCACCAGATGACTGTCTATGACATGCAAAAGAAATTTGAACTACTTCTCATTTTGCAAGTTAAAACCCTCTATTCCCTGGACTATACAGTGTGTCCCAAATCGGGTGGGATTGCATGGGTAACTTTGTTACTATTAAAGATAGAGAATTGGTTAAATGGGCAATGTTTTCCAGTTTTGGATGCTTATTTAAAATTTCCTTATGGAAATTCAAAATGTCGCATAGGTTCGACGTAAATTCAAAAAAACTAAAATTGGTCATTTCCTTGAATGTCTAATATCATCGAAAGTATAAAAGATATAAAAAAAAGTTTTATATAAAAGTGACTGTCTTTGATACGCTTAATTTAGAATTGATGACAAAAAAAATTCAAGATGGCCACTTTTGAGGAACATTTACCAACTTCCTAAAGTTAAATGGGCGCCATATTGGATTTTTAGATTACTTGATAGATTTTTAAATTCTCTTTTCAACGAACTATTATTACATAAGATTGAAAATAAGATACCAGTTATATTAACGGTTTTTGTATTTTAATCAAGTAGTCTGTGACGAATAAAAAAAAAACAAAACAAAATCTATTCGAGGCAACAAAACAAAGAAAATAATTGCACCAGATGTTTAAAATACTGGTCATTATTAGTGAAACACACTTCAAGACAGTTTAGTTTAGGCAACGTGTTGCCATTGATGATTATTATTATTATTGTAGTGGTAGCTACTTCCACTTTAGTTTTATTTTTTAATTAAGTACTTACTTTTATAATTTAATGTACTGTACATAATTCGTGAATTGTGACCTGAGCAGCCAGTTTGTTGGTAGGTAGCATAAACTAACCCTTCCTTCGGAACATACGTTGTCGAGAAAAATCCTTTAAGAAAGTTTATTGGAGAATTTGTAAATAATGGTGAGCAGTTAAAGATCCATCGAAGATTACCGGTCCAATTACATGACTTCCCATTATGCCATAAAATACATTAATTTAAAAAAATATTACTTGATTTCGGCGTGAAACTGCAACATGTAGGTTTTCCTGTGACGAGTAGTGTTCATAATGTCGATTTGAACACTTCACAGTTAGAAAAATAAGATTCATCTTCCCATATACTCGGACTGGTAAAACTGTTAGTTTCGATATTCTTGCGGATAAACCACCTACAAAATGTGACCTGGGACAATGCATCAATGGTAATACATTGTGTAAAATAAAGCGAAGTGTCTTGAAATGTCTTTAACTGGATAATGGCATGACTTTTTTCGAGGGGATAGTTTGTAGTTATACCACCATTTGTAGGTATGTAAGTATGGATAATAAGTCAATAAGTGATGTTAAAATCAAATTTTTCTAGACCTAATGCTTATATAAAATTTTGGAGGGAGTTGTAATGCCCAAACCCCTCCTCTCATGAGTGCGTCCGTGATTTTTTTAAACATCTGATGTAATTATTTTCATTGTTTTGTTGGCTCGAATAGATTTTGTTTTGTTTTTTTTAATTTATCACAGCCTACTTAATTAAAATATAAAAACCGTTGCTATAACTGGTATCTTATTTTCAATCTTATGTTATGATGGCTCGTTGAAAAGAGAATTAAAAAATCTATCAAGTAATCTAAAAATCCGATATAGCGCCTATTTAACTTTAGGAAGTTGGTAAATGTTCCTCAAAAGTAGCCATCTTGAATTTTTTTTTGACATCAATTCTAAATTAAACGTATCAAAGACAGTCACTTTTATATAAAACTTTTTTTTATATCTCTTATACTTTCGATGATATTAAGACATTCAAGGAAATGACCAATTTTAGTTTTTTTGAATTTACGTCGAACCTATGCGACATTTTGAATTTCCAAAAGGAAAATTTAAATAAGCATCTAAAACTGCAAAACATTGCCCATTTAACCAATTCTCTATCCTTAATAATAACAAAGTTACCCATGCAATCCCACCCGATCTGGGACACACTGTATATCACCGATCAAAAATCTCCCCAGGCTCCAAAATTTCGACCCAATTACCATTACCACTAGTAGTAATGTCATCATAGACATAGTCTACAGGAACCTTCTAATGGACTATATTTTTAGTAAAAATCAATATTAGATATGTTTATATAGGGCGTTACAAAAATTGTCGGCTGACTATATGCAGTCTATTTTTGCGGCTAAAAATATTTAAAAAAAGTTTAAAACATGTTTCCTAAAGTGACTCGTTTCCGAATGTGAGGCGAGTGTCAAAAAAATCCCCCACTGAAAATTGTGTGGGATTGTTCGTATCTTAAAAACTTCAAGTAGCTGTAACACCCTGTATACCTAATTATCTAATAATAAAATTCATGCCATTTGTCTGCTCCCAAAGTGCGTCGACTAAGAGGAAATATACCTAATAAGTGAAGAAGGAAGTCTGTTTGAAAGTAACTGTTTAACTTCAATCGGTAGTGATTGCCCAAAAATAATGGGTCAGGACCATGAAAAATGCCCACTAAATTGGATTAAAGCAGTATGAGGGATATGATCCACTTGACACTTTTCGTGTAATATACAAATAGTTTCGCTCTCCTCTCAAAATGCCTTCATCGTTTGCCCTCCAGCTGTTTTTATGTTCAAAAACACGAAAATCTAGGTTCCGCGGGGGGGGGGGGGGGGAGCAGTTTGACCGATTACCTTCGTTTCCATATATTTTCAGTTACAAAGCATTAAACATTTAATGCAAATTACCACATCCTTAATAAATAATAGGGAAAAGGAGAACAATAAATTATGAAAGACTACAATTTCGAACAAAAGAATAATCAATATATAGCGCTCAATCGGTAGGTACTACATTTTTTAGACCGATTAATTCAAAATTCTTCTGTACATGTTTGTAACTGAACTCCTAAATAGCTGGACACATTTTTATGATGGTTTTAGATTCACAAGTAGGCTCGATCGGGTTATAGGATTTTTTAAAAACTTTTTCGTTGATGTCGCACTCTTCTATTTGGCGTATCGATCGATACATGTGCCAAGTCTGCTGAGTTTCCGTTGTCGTATATCAGTCAATATGGAGCGTACAAAGTTGTGGTGGAGAATTTAGTGCTGAATAAAATATCTTTAATACATAATCACTCTGAGATAATATATATAACACAAACTAAAACTACAGTCAAAAGTATGATAGGTAATCAAAATGTTCCTCTCAATCAGCACCATAACTTACTAATAAAGAAAATTATTTTGTTTTGTTGATTACCCCAATTACAGTGGTGTGATTTTCTATTGGTAGTTAGAAACAATTTTTTTGTTGTGAATTTCGAAGAGATATCAAACACTAAACTCTGAATTTCAGCATTAAAGTCGGAGTACATAAGAAATCTACTCACTCGTAGTCCCCTATAAAATCTTTAATTGAATGTATTTCAGGTATCCCACCATCGACTTACCCAACTTCCCGTTTCCAAACTCTGTACCTTTATTTTGCTTACCTATGGGTTCGACGTTAGAATTGTGGCCCGTTAAAGCAGCGCAACCCGCTCCCGTGTTTAGTACTTTTATATTGACCGTATCCGACGCGAAGCATAAGGTCTATGGATCTGCCATTACGTTTTATGAAAAATTCGATAGATTTCTAACGGAAAAGCAGCGGGAGTTGTTGGGATATTCTCCCAATGAAGGACATGCGTTGTATATGAATAAAAGTATTTGTGTGCTTTCTAATGGGCCTTTCTCCGATGCCTTCGAAAAATGGTTATTGTATTTGTACGTAAGTAGAATTTTGAAGAGTCTATCTAATTTGATTAAAATTGTCCAAATGCGAAAATGTATTCAGTTCGGCGAGTGGTAATACATGTGGTATTCCTTTGCTACACCTGCCTGCCCTTGTGTTCCTTACTATTTCTGGTAGGGTCCGTGAAGTTAGCAGCACATTGAAGGCACAAATGTCGAGACTAGGTGGGTTGGTTAGTGCTTCGTTTGTGCCGTAAAAAGTTTGCCCGCAAAACATACGGTTTGGAAATTATTTCGACTTTTAGAGGTTCTGCTAATAGGCCAGTCATTGAGGATTTTTACCTGGAAGTAACTCGGGAAGTACAGAAATTTTGTATGCTTGAGTGCATAGAACTAAAATTCATAAAATGCACAATTCTAAACTTGCCGCCGGGGCCGCCATCTTACCAAGATGGTCGTCAAAAGCGGTTTTCCGCCGATATCTCCAAAACTGTGCATTTTATGAGAAAATATGTGGTGAGCAAAATTAAAGAGACGAAAATTTCCTACAAAAAATGTAGTTAGCATATTTCCACTAAAGTTAGCCCTTGCGCAGAAAAGCAGAAATTTTTAATAACCAATGGCGTGTATTTTATCAAAATAATTCATTAAACATTTAATTAATTAATCAAATTGATTAATCATTAGTCTATGATCAATTAATTTTAAGTAACATTAGATTCTCTATTTGCGCAGGCCTGACGGACCTGGCAGTTCGTTAATGTCACTGTTTTCATTGCCGAATACGTTTATCCCTATTTCGGGATCAAAGTTGGCTTCTTTAAATTCGTCGGATTCTCCTTCTTCAGTCGATAAAGGAATATCGATACATATTCCACAAATTACGTTTTTTCCCGGTTTGTGCTGTATCGCCAGGAAAATATTTTCCTGGAAGAAGTTATTTCGATTTTTAGATGTCTGTAGATGTTTGCTATAACTTCGCACACTTTTGTCGGCATAAATTTCGAGACTAGATGGATTGGTTAGTGCTACGTTTGTGCCGGTTTGTGAGGTAAAAAGTTTGCCAGCAAAGCATTGCCTTTGAAGGTTATCTCAATTTTTAGATGTTCTGGAAACCTTGTACAATTTTGTTGCTATACTGTTGAAACTAAGTATAATGTTAATGTAATAGTAATAGTAATAGTAAAAAGTTTGAGCAAAAAAGAGAATGTGTGAAAACTCCCAGCACGTTTTTAATAAGTATTATAGCTTTCACACAAGTGTAGTGTGCTTTTGATGACACTTTATTGTCTAATTTGTTGATAATTGTATGCCATACATTTGCAGATGGTTTGTTTATATAAGATCATCCTTGTGTTGGAGAAGAACGTGTGTGTTAGCTTCGTTTTTTCAATGACAGCCTTTCGCGGTGTGTTGTACCAAATGTAAAATAATTGAAGTTACAATTAGCATCTGTCTGTGGTGTACTTAGTCATTCGTGAGATTGGGTCTCCAAATGGTAAAGAACTCAGGGGATAACTGTTATATAAGTCCAAATCTGCTAAATCCGATTGCACTACATGAAATAGGTAGATAAGAATCCCTAAGTTCTGCCGTTGTATATACAAAGATAAGTGTATGGAGTCGGGTGAATAATATCGGACCTAATCTCGTGTGTTTTGTGGAACATCTTGTATATTTTAATCTAAAAAGGTAGCATATTAAATATTTTATTTTTATTTTATTTTTGCATTTATTTTTGAGTGGGCGGGGTTTCATCCAAGCTCGCTCTACCAACCCAACTCACTATACATTTACAAATATCTATGCCCGAACGCCGATTCTAACCAGGGACCCATAGTATCGCACTCCAGCCTAAACTGAATTGCGCCACATGGCCTGATAAAAATATAACACACCATGAATGATACTGGTTTTCTATGCGATTTTTTTAAACTTAATAATCTTTTATTTCGTTCTCAAGTTTCTATAATTTTTTTATTTACTTTCTTGTGCCAGACTCTTTGTCTGTTAAAATGTTTCCAGTTACAAGGTCAACACAGTTTAGTTTCTAGATCAGCTTTTGTTTCACATCGCCTACTGTGGTTTAAGGTAGTATATAAAGTGTATATAAATCGCATATATCATCTATGATATTACTTTTCCGCACCCATATGTGGGTAAGTAAAGTATTGTTTTCATCACAGATAAAAGTCTGTTGTCGTTGTCCGGGTTGTAATTAGCACGATAGCTCAAAATTGAATGGGACAAATTGCGTACATTTTTTCAGTCCTTGCCGCGTGGAGAAGGCACCCATTAATTTCCAAACTGGTAGGCCGTAATCTTCTGCGCATGCGCAAAAGTACCTTTGTTACTTATGGACCGATCGTACTGAAATTTTAACTTTAGCATCCTTTACTAAAGGCAAATCGATCGATTATTTCAAACATATCAAAAGCTTCTTTCGCGCATGTGCAAAAGTAAATTTCTTATTTGTTGACCAATTTTTGTGAAACTTTAACGATAAATCATTCGCTCAATAAAAGGCAAAGCTGAAGGCTGAAGATGGAGACGACTAAAATAAAATCTTAAAATTAATTGATCATAGACTAATTGATTAATTAATTAAATGATTAATGAATTATTTGGATAATAGTTATTTACGTTATAAGTCCGGTAGGTTACTTGTAACAGTACGAGTTAGACATTATGGATGAGGCGACGTCAGGAGCCGAGTCAAGAATGTCTTAAACGAGTACTGTTACAAGTACTACCGGACGTATATCGTAACGTATTTTATTTCATACTGTAAGTCTGTTCTGTATCATTATTTCATTTCAAAGATTAGGTACAAAATTTCATTATATTGTAAAAATCGCATTACCTTGTGTCTGTGGCAACGGCCGTTGCTATAGTTTGTAGTTTGTTTACATTGAATTTTTTTCACTTATAATTGCACAAGAGGTTTGTATTTTACCGAGTAAATTTGGGTTGTTTAGGTAATGAAAATCTGTTGCCTAGCAATTAGACGAGAAAAACTGTCAACTAATAAAAATGCGACACCGCAGGTGGAGCATTTTTAGGTTGACAGTTTTTCGAGTTCAATTGCTAAAAGGAAACAGATTTGAATTGCACAACCCAAATTTACTCGGTTTAAATACAAACCTCGAGTGTAATTCGGCAGGACAATTTAACGAACAAGAAATTCACCAAACTAATCAATTATTGACAGACGTCAAACTAGTCATATGGGAAAGGATAATGCGATAATTGGTTCGAAAATGAATAAGTGAAAAAACCACTAGTGCATTTGTCGCTGGAAAAGATGCAGGTAACTTTTGCCGCTGTCAAAGTGACAATTGCACTGCGGCTTATGCGATTTTTATACATGAGTTGAATTGTCACTTATAATTGCACAAGAGGTTTGTACTTAGACCATATAGTACATGGACTGCTAATTGTAACTAAAATATGGTCAAGGACATCGCCTGGGTATGTGAGTTTCAGGGTAAACGAGTCTGTCCGAAATTGTCCGATGGGACACGATTTGAGACTGTCAACCTATAAATTAACAAATGTCAATTAATTAATCGTCTAGATATGGCAAAAACAGCAAACCTGTTCTTATTTGTGGACGTATAGAAGACAATCAAGAGTATTTAAAGCTTCCCGTACTACGCGGTTACCATAAAAGCTACTCTTTACGCAATCCAAGTGGTGTTCATACGACTTTATTTTACCCTGAGATTCACATACCCACGACTACAGTGCCCTCTATCCGTGACCACCCATTTTGTATTGAAAGCATAGGGCTAATAGCAGTCCATGTACTATATGGTCTAAGGGTTTGTATTTTACCGAGTAAATTGGGGTTGTTAAGATAATGAAAATCTGTTGCCTAGCAATTAGACGACAAAAACTGTCAACTATTAAAAATGCGACACCGAAGGTGGAGCATTTTTAGGTTGACAGTTTTTCGAGTCCAATTGCTAAAAGGAAACAAATTTGAATTGCAACAACCCAAATTTACTCGGTTTAAATACAAACCTCGAGTGTAATTCGGCAGGACAATTTAACGAACAAGAAATTCACCAAACTAGTCAATTATTGACAGACGTCAAACTAATCATATGGGAAAGGATAATGCCATAATTGGTTCGAAAATGAATAAGTGAAAAAACCACTAGTGCATTTGTCGCTGGAAAAGTTGCTGGTAACTTTTGCCGCTGTCAAGGTGACAATTGCACTGCGGCTTATGCGATTTTTTATACATGAGTTGAATTGTCACTAAAAATGGACGCTATAAACGTTGTGGGATGTTCCACTGTTCCCGATACAATCCTGTCGAAATCTCATGAAGCAACCGAAAGTTGATTCCTAAGAAGTCGGCCGCAAGGTATGAAAAAGAGTACTAAGTGTTTTGCCAATGGAGGAACGAACATGGGGCGAAACAAGTAGAGGAAAAAGTCATGTTGGCATACTTTTTGGATGCAGTAAGTTTTTGAATTGAGATTTTTCTGCGTGGGTTTCGGTGTTAAAGCGTCATGGGGCATGAAAAAGTACATTGACGGCAGAAAAATACATCGAAGGCTCGGTAGAAGGAAAAGTTAAGATTGCCCGTATGATGCAACTGATACAAGGCGGCGAAAATTTCATTGAAGTTCTACAGCAGAAGGAATCAAACATTACGAACTCGACATCCAGTAATAACCCAGGCGTTAGTGTTGAGGGCAATACAAATTGTTTCATTACAATCAATGTTAATGTTTGAAATAAAGAATTACAGCCAAATTTATGTTGGGGTTTTTAATTAATTGTGTGAAGATGTCAAATTTGATATATACAAATAACAGTCCGGTAAGTGTTGCTTAGCGACACTTACCGGCTCGGATGCTGTAATAACTCACCTACCGGACTCAAAATGATAGTGTAATCGAACATCTACCGGACAGTATGAAATAAATTAATATACGCCACTGGTTATTAAAAATTTCTGAATTTCTGCGTAAGGACTAACTTTAGTGAAAATATGCTAACTACATTTTTTGTAGGAAATTTTCGTTTCTTTAATTTTGCTCACCACATATTTTCTCGTAAAATGCGCAGTTTTGGAGATATCGGCGGAAAACCGCTTTTGACGGCCATCTTGGTAAGATGGCGGCAAGTTTAGAATTGTGCATTTTATAAATTTTAGTTCTACGCACTCAAGCATACAAAATTTCTGTACTTCCCAAGTTATTTCCAGGTAAAAATCCTCAATGACTGGCCTATTAGCAGAACCTGTAACAATCTAAATAATTTCCAAACCGTATGTTTTGCTGGCAAACTTTTTACGGCACAAACCGGCACAAACGAAGCACTAACCAACCCACCTAGTCTCAACATTTGTGCCTTCAATGTGCTGCTAACTTCACGGACCCTTTCTGGTATCTTGTACTTTGTTATCCTAAAAGTTTTTTTCATGAACCGGTTTAGCCTATGTTTTTGCACTTTGTGATTTTGTAAAATGTTGCCTATAATATTCGGCGAAATATGCAGAATTAAAGGTGAACATTAATGTCCCTACATTTTATCAACCTCTCGCAATTTACCGCATTACAAATATACCACATTGATTGAGAAAATAGATGACGCTTAAATGTTTGTTGAAACTGTTTCCTGTGCGTAACTAATTAATTCCGTTTAATTTTACAGAATATTGCATCAAGTAACAAGCCACAAACAATTCCTATTGAACATTACATTGTCCAGCTCATCGATGAAGTTCCTTTTCCGGCACCTCGTACATTGTTGCACTTGTCCTCAAACATTTCGCAGCAATCTGAACGAATAATTATGATGCAGCCGGAAGATTCGCCGTTTCCTCACAGCGCTGCGGGGTTTAGAGAATTGTTGCTCAATTTAGGATCGGAAAATAGTCTTTTAATATTGTTGTTGGCATTGACAGAACAAAAAATATTAATCCATTCTCTTAGACCGGACACTTTAACTGCTGTTGCAGAAGCTGTGTCGTCGCTTCTGTTTCCCTTTAAGTGGCAGTGTCCGTATATTCCACTTTGCCCATTAGGTAAAGTTTGCCAGTTGCATTACAATTCTAATCGCAGTGTCTTTAGGTTTAGTTGAAATTTTACACGCACCTCTACCGTTTTTAATAGGAGTCGACTCACGGTTTTTTGATCTCTATGATCCACCTGGTGATGTTAGCTGTGTTGATCTCGATACGAACATCATCACTGTACGTAAACCTGCCAATATTAACCATGTAATCACCCACTTATAGGTATGTGAAAACCAAAGACAAATTCTTAATACTAAACTATTACCAAAGCGTCCAGCCAAGGTTCTCAAATCGACGCTGGATGAATTATACAAAAAATTGTTGACATATACTAGAAATACGCAGGTGTACTCTGAAACAGAAGTTGAGATGGAATTTCAACAACGGCGGCGAGAGGTACGTTTTTAACGCATTCAACTGGCCTTCATGTACACATTGTAGCAAATACAAGAGCTGGAAGTTCAAGAAGCATTTCTCAAGTTTATGGCCATGACATTAAAGGGTTACCGTACATATCTCCTACCAATTACTAAAGCACCCACTGTCGGTACAACCGATCCACAAGCACTCTTTCAACTAGGCGACTTTCTAAAATCACGAGATAAAACGCATCACAAATTCTTCTCACTGCTTATGCGAACGCAAATGTTTATTAGGTTTATAGAGGAACGAAGTTTCGTATCTGACGGAGATCAAGGTCTCACGTTTTTTGACGAGTGCTGCGAAAGGCTCGGTAATGATGACGGCGAGTTGAAATTGTTCGAATTGGAATTGGGACAAACTAGCGAAAGGACTGTGTTTTTATTGCCTCCAGAACCTCTGCACAATGGTAAGCTTTGGTGTCCTATCTACCGGAAACATAGGGTAATGGATAGGCATCCTTAATTGAATACTTGTTTGGTCATTTGATTTTTGCTAAGAAAAGTCAGTGAGGTGCAACGATTTAACTGATCTTTGTGTTGAAGGTGAAACGTGTACCTATTTTGGTTTTAACTTAAACCCGACGTTATTAAAAACTAAAAGACACAAACAATTAACGGCATTGTTACCTGCGACAGCACCTGGTTCGCCGATGGCACGTCGAACGAAACACGAAATAAAATCTGCTCAAAAATTGGCACGGTAAATATCAGTTGCATTGGGTCATTTGGTTGGAAATTTACATTTTCAGAAAATGCATTCGCTCCCCAGAGCTATGGGCCCGATGCTTATTGGGAACGTGTCACACCTTGTATTTTATGGCATTACCAAGCATGCTGTCATTAAACACGGGTAAAGAAAGAGCAATATTACAACAGTCGTACGATTTATTAGTTCGAGCCACTCAGTTACGTCTGGCCTGTGATGAGGTGTGCTATCGCCTTATGATGCAGTTGTGTGGCGAACATTCTCGACCTTTGTTGGCGGTTAAGTTGCTTTTGCTTATGAAGCGATCGGGAATTCAACCAAACGCGTTAACTTATGGGTATATCCACTTTTGTATGTGTTTTTTAAAGATTGAAAGTAATTTTAGACTATATAACCGATGCGTGTTAGAAGCTCAATGGCCCGCTCACTCGAGTTCGAGCCAGTTACTGTGGAACAAGTTACGGTACGTGGTTTTGGGCGCCGCTCACTTTCGTTGGGCTGCGCGAAGACAGGCGGCTAGAAAACTTTCGGCTTCAACTGAAGGAGGTGCGTTAATATTTCACTTGTCCATTTCGCTGGCCTCCATCGTTAATCGTTTTGTTCGTTTGTGTTTTGTTAATGCACATAAGTGCACCAAGATTTTCGTTCGTGCACATATACAGGGTGCTTTTTTGGGAGCTTAGGTAAACGTTTCTGGGAAAGTGAAATAGGTAGGCTTTTGAAAATTTGTACTTAGGAGTTACTCTGAAGGCCGAATCAATGTGAAATATTTTCAAAATGGTCGCACTTCCGGAAATAGCTAGTAACTTCGTTATTTTAAATGGCAGTTTTTACGAATACAACGATGTACCTACAGCACACACAAAAAAACAAAAGTTGGAAACTTGTCAACGGAATGGTAGATATTCCTGCACAATTAAGATGTGCGTAGATGCACCATCCTGTTGAAAACAACAGTTTCCAACTTTTGTTTTTTCTTGTGTGCCTTATATCGTTGTATTCCTAATAGAAAATACTATTCAATACAGTGTGTACTTTTTTTACAGACCATATATAAAAATAAAGTTGATGATGATATCTTCGAAACGAAACGTAGTATTGAAAATCTCGCAACGGTGTCTTGTAAGGGTCCGTTAACTTGGCCCCCCCACTAAGAGATTTGATAGTCTTATTATTTTGAAACGAATGCGCTCGTTATGCGCTCATATGCGCCACCGATAATAACTCTTGCGCCATTATCGTTTTTTAGAAATCCGAAAAAACATTTGGGGGGGCCAAGTGAACGTAGCCCCCCCCCCAGTACGTATTTTGTCTCTTGTAACTAGGTCACCTGATACATTTGGTTATGCGCTCAATTGCGCCACTTGAATTAAAGCTAGCGCCATTACGGTTAAGCCGTGACAAATTTTCAAAAAGTGGGGGGACCAACTTAACGTTTTTAAAAGTTACTTTTTTTTAACATCTTTTCATACGAAATTGTACTCTCAGGTATGCGCTAAAATGCGCCGTAAAAATATATCTTTGCGCCATTCTTGTTTTTTGGTTATCCTTAAATATATTTGGGAGGGGCCAAGTGAACGGAACCCCCCATAACGCATTTTGCTACCGGTATTTGTGCCACTTGATACACCTGGTTATGCGCTCAATTGCGCCACTTGAATTAAAGCTAGGGCCATTACGGTTAAGCCATAAAAAATTTTTAAAAAGTGGAGGTCTAACTTAGCGTTTTCAAAAGTTACGTTTTTAACATGTTTTTTCTACTACATCGTACATCATGCGCTAAAATGAGCCGTAAACATAAATCTTTGCGCATTATAGTTTTTGAGAACCTTTTTTAGTACCTATAGAAGTATAACGCTATTTAATGGTTTTCTTTAAAAAGCATGAAAATAACTTTAATTGCGCATCGCAATTGACCATCGTTGTATTTTCTATGGTTTTGGAGAATCTCATGATAGACCTCCTTATCTTGAACACTGGGTATGTGTGCTCATAAAACTCCTAGGTGTGCTTATGTACTAACGATATTACAAACGGCCAAATTTAAAATGGGTAGGGGTCAGCAAACTGGATTTGCCATTTCATATACTAAAGTCATATACGTTAGGTTCCAGTCTCTTAGATACAGTTGATCGTTCCTCTAGACTCTCGTTAGATTCACACGAAGCAGTGCAAAGCGAAACTAGTTTACTGGATAAGTTTCGGAATCACTTTGCAAGTATTGTGAGAGGTGGTAGTAGCAACTTGCCCGAACAGAATGTTACTGATTCTACAGTATCTAGTGCGGGATTGCTCATATCTAGTCAAAATGAATGTGACGAAGAAGTGACAGACATCACGGAGGAACAGATGGATCAACTAGAAGTCAATCTAACCCCACCCGAGAGTCCATCTGAATATCTTAGGCTTTTATCTCGATCTGAAAGTGCAAACGATGCAAGTATTATTGATAAATTACAACAAACGTCTAGGAAAAATTGTTCGCGGGCATTGCATTTTGATGATGAAGAGGTGGATGATCCGTCCAAAACAACACCAACTAAGTAATTTTGTTACCTTATGATTGATCTTGCAACACTGCCGACTTCATATCTTCCTGTTGTTAAATGTTAATTTTTCTCGAAAAAAACATGCCGGACTTATATTTGTAGATTTTTTGATATGATAGGTTACATTGATCTATTACGAAAAGGAAGAAATGATAGTACTGTTGCAGAATACCATTGATATCCATTTATAATCCTCTCAAATTAGGATTTCTCCTCGCACTCCCGTAACTGAGAATGATCCACTCGGTGCACTTGAGCAACCGATTGAAGAAGAAACCAAATGCTTGCCTACCGTTGAAGTTGTGCACGTAAACCGCACTTCGGTCCACACAGACGATCCAGTCCTATTTCGTTCGTCAGTGCAAAGATCTGCGACATTTGAGGGTAGTCCTCCCACTCAAAATAAACTGCATCGGTCCGAAACAATGCCGGCTGCCAGTATCGCCTCGAGTCTGGCGGGAATTGGGTCAAGTTTAAAAATGGGTTTTAGGTAAGTACTCCACTGTCGCACGTGTGATTTTACCCATAAATAATACTGATTGGATAGACCAACTACTTTATTCCAAAATGATTATTTTTGGCATGATGTAGTGTAGTGTTAAGTTTAATTTTGCAAGTGTGATTTTGTGTTGATATGGCTTGAAATGCATGAATTAGTAGTAGTGCTAGATGTGTTGTTTTAGCCGCTACTCACCAGCACGGCTGTCGTTGCGTAAAGCAGACCTGAAAATGCCGCAACAGATCATTGAAAACGCACTCAGTAATCTCAGGTAGGTGTTGCGATTTTTATTTATTGTTCGTTGTCGCATCATAGTGTAAACCATAATACATTTGGGGTAATGTGACGTTAAAATTTACCACCTCACGCTACACGAATAAAGATGGCGTCATTTTCTGTCTTCCGAACTTCCATAGCCTTCTAGGTTATGAATTATGATATTGCCAGAATTTGACCATGAGGAACATAGTGTATATTGAGGATTATTTTGCTAACGTCGCCGTATGGGGAGTATCTACGACTGCCTCAAAATAAGAAAAACTTGATTTGCATACATACCTAATCGTTTGCACTTCACTATTTGTGAATTTAAAAAATAATATTTGAAAGTAATTAGATATAGGGAACCATAACCTCTCTTGTAAGCCCTCAACTCTACCATATAAAAAATATTGCTTGGAATGTAAGTTACAATGTATAACACAATGCACGTCATATTCACAATACCAACATGTATTCACATGTTGTCAATTTTTTAATTCCTTTATAGCCCCAGTAGCTTAACAGGAAAGAAGTCAAACGAATTAATACAAGGCGGCATAAGCAGTTTGAAGTCAGCCGCGACAACGGTTGCGAAAAAATTAGATGAAATCAAAGAAGCGATTTCCACATCGACGACCTCAACTCCTGTTAAAGCAGTATCCGGTGATCGGCTTGGCGCTGGTGAACCGAATGATGCTTCTGGCGATTGCGAGTCAACAGATGGCAGCGACGGAGGAGAAAGACATCGAAGGATATCTGCCGAGCTCGGCAGCTACAGAGGCAGTACTGCCAATTTGCGAGATTCCGATGACAGCCTTCCTGAAAATTTATACCCTCCGTTCACTGATGTCCCTATGGGTAACTTTTAAGAATTTCAGAACTCCTAATTACATATAAATGCTTGTAGATGGCGAGCTTGAAATCACTTTAGTTTCGTGTTCTCAATGTCACAATTGCTCAGTGCTACTTTATGACGAAGACATCATGTCCAATTGGTCCGCCGAGGATTCGAATTTAAATACTCTTTGTCATAGTTGCAGAAAGCCCACAGTTCCTCTTTTGACAATATCGATTAAGCAAGCTGAAATGATCAGTGGTGAACCGTTTAGTGTTCCCTATCTAAATCCGTTAGTTTTAAGAAAGGAGTTAGAAAACATTCTGAGTCTAGAGGGAGATTTGAGTTTGGCCGACGCGAAATTTGTTGAGCAACATCCGATAATATACTGGAATCTTGTTTGGAGCTTTGAACGTATTAATGTTCAAAGCCATTTGCCTAATCTGTACCTTAAAAATCGTAAAGATCACTTGAACAGTATCAACAAGATTGAGCAACAGAGTGGAGATGATGTCGAATCCATCGATGACACTACAGACGAAGCTGCAGATGATGGCGCAAGCTGTATGCAACCCGTTGAGGAAGGTGCAGATCCACTTACTCAAGATTTGGCTACAGTTGGTAAGCACCTACTTTTTAAATAAATTAATTATATAATACATCTATGTACAAAGCAGCAGGTAAGGATGTATTACGTAAGTAATTGGCAATAATCTCAGTAGCTTTTCCAGTTTCGTGATTATATGACTGAATTTGTTTTAGAACACTTATCTGCTCAAGTTACAGTGTTATGTGTTTGGGACAATCCTCGTCTACATGCCGAAGGCCCTCCAATGTATATTCTTTATCAACGTCGCGAAATGTCTAGTCCACTTGTCAGTGCTTTAACTGATCAAACGACGATTAGCAGACCGTAAGTTCTTTCAACCAATAGGAGCTCCTATTTACCGTTTACATTTCCACAGGGTAATGCAAAGCATTTTGTTAGGTGTACACAGTAATGATCTATTGGAACCTCTGAAAAGGCTAGGAATGGAACGACAAAAAATCCAAAAAGTGCGAGGTATCGACCGAACACACTCGATATACAGAGACATACTATTTCTAGCGTGCAAGGCATTGGGTCGTTCCAATATTGACTTAAATGCTTTCGATAAAGAATATGCGCTGGCGTTTTCACGTCTCCCTGAACGAAACAGTAAACTTTACAGACCCCAAGACCGTCCTTTAAGTCTTGGCAGTTCGTACTGTCGACAATATTTTAAACCTCTTTCCTTAGTATAAGTTATTTTATGTGGTTTCGATAAAACTGCAACATTTGTTAGTTTGTTGAATGTGATTTTTGTGGCCTTCTTGAGTAAACGTTACTTGTGAAAACATTTACGTGTATCTCTTGGTGCACCAACATTACTTTTTATTCTGCGCTAACTTATCACATTGTTTCTTTCTTAAGAGGTATATCCTATTGTTTGTTTTCAACTGTATATAGACATGTCTAATAAGTATTAAAAAGTTAATGCTATTTTCAAATAAAATATTTAAAATAGTTCTTTTTTATTTCTGGAAAGGTAGTTTTTGTCATTAATATTAGAACCCGAAATTTTAAAGCAAACAGATTCGGCTACTTCAAAAGTTACAGCCCCTTGCATTTTTGTTGAATTTGGTTTTTTGCCTAAACTTGATTGAGAGGTCTAATCGAAATAGTACGAATCGTTTTGTATTCTACGGGCCTAAATTAATAAGAAAAAGTGTTTTCCTGAGAAATTTTGGTGCAATTTTTGGTAAAAAAGGAAGGATTATAACACTGCCTTTTTTGGAGGCGCGAAAAAAAAATTGTCTTAGATCGACGAATTCTTTTGGATTCTACGCACCAAAATTAATAAGAAAAAGAGAGCAAAAAGAGCATTTATTGAACAGATGAAATAAACTTACAAAGCAACATACTGTTTTTATATATACACATCAATGGCAAAACTGATGTCATTAAGTTATGGAAAAGAGATACAGTTATTGATGTCTTTGTTATTTATTAAGCACGACATTGCTGCTTTACCTTTATCACCACAGCAGAGTCCAATGAGAATGTAATTTTTTGTTTTTACTTCCTCCATTTTATTAATATAGGGCACTTTTTTGGCTTGGCTGCCGAAAAGGATTTCTTTCAAAGCCTCATAAGAAGAATCCTTGATTGCTTGAAGATCATCAGCCTCAATATGCTTGAACTCCCAAATAACTACACAATCATCATTTTCCATGAACAGGTCGATAAATCCCGTTACTTTCTTACCATCCATCTGAATTGTAACAGGTTTCTCCATCTCGCAATATTTGAAGTCTGCTTTGAGCATGGTAACAAACATAAGAGATTGTATTGATCGTTCCTTCACCTTTTGTCCGCGGAACTTTGACAAAAGTTTTTTCAACTCCTCATAGAAAACACTTAAACTCTCTTCCTGTTCATCTGCAGATTTATCAGGTAGTGACTCAAAATATTCTGCACATTTATGCATTGACAAGTTACTAAATCCACAAACTTTCACATGGAAATTACTAAACATCTCTAGATACGCAGTAAGGACTTCAGGATTTGGAGCTTTCACTTTAACAGATCTGCTAGAACGATGGCTTGGATCAATGGAGAGATACCCTTGTTCCATGAAAAATGAGTAGACAAGTTGTTCTTGATTGTTTTCACCATTTAAAAAGTCAGCAAGATCCTTGGCATCCAACTTATCACAGGACATAAAAGAGAAATTTCCCCCTGTTGTTACATGAACCATTGTTTCCATTACATCATCATTTTTAAGAACTTTACCAAGTGCACTAATGTTCCAAAAATTGGTCTTTCTGATCTCAGAAGCGTTCAGTTCCACACGAAGTCGAATGTAGTGCAAAACAGACCATAAACAGCACACAGCTTCAGTTTTAATATAGTATCCATTGTAGAGACCCAATACCTCTCGTTGGATAGAAGCTTGTTTCTCTTTTTGCTCAGGGAACACACTTTCAAGAAGCGTAGTAAGCTCTTCATGCCCAACACCATAATATTTAGCAAACCGATCATCATCTAGTAACCATTTGTAAAATGGTATGTTGTTAAGATGCTGAGAAATACCAATGCTTCCCAGAAATGACACACCCGTAATTAGTGATCCCAAGAGATGATTATCCGCCACTTTTCCTTTCACAACTGCACCAAGCAGGGACATTACTATATTGCTGATATCTTTTACTTCATCTCCACTTTTACCACCCAACAGGGCGTTCACCACAGGAGCATCAAACTCATCAACCAACAGGTACACTTTCTGTTTATGGTGAGCATGTAAATATTCAATCAATTTTTGCAAACCTATGGTTGGATCCTCTCTCATGTATGTATTCATACCACACCATGCTTCACAAGCTTCATATGCTGCTTTTACTTTTCTTGGTGAGTCAGCTAAACGTTCGTCCTTCATCAGGTATGAAAAATTCACATAGAGATCATGTACAATGCCTCTGAGACCATCCTTTACAGTTTCTTTGGAAGTGCAATCAAGGTCTTTTAAGTCCAGATACACAACTGGGTGTCTCCCAAAGTATTCTTTAACAAGTTCTTCTTCCTTTATTATCTTACATGGTGGTGACAGTCCGTATCTGCAAAATGCTTTAAAATTTTCGTATTCTTTCAGTTCTTCTAAATTCTTAGGTGCATAGCTTATGTCTCGACCAGCTACAATTTCGAAGAAGCACTTGACCATGTCTATATTCAGAGACTTGCCAAAACGCCTGGGCGCAAAAATAATCACACGACGTGGTTTCTTCAGCAATTCGGCAATAAAAAGGCTTTTGTCAACCCACCCTATCCACCTAACAGCTTCTCTGAAATTACCCTCATTTTCATCAAAGATAAGTCGTGTTTCCTTCTGTAATAAAATCAGAATGATTAAAAATTACTACCGGTAATCGGTAATATATATTATTATTATGAAGAACTTACTTTTTGATTGTGTGTAGTTCCATCACTATCTCCTGATGCATCCTGAGCTTCAGTGCTTACTTGAGTGATAGGATCAGATGAATAGGATGCAGTAGAATCCATCTTCAGCCGCTTACTCAGTGACATGTGGCTCAACTGCAAAGAGAGTAATAGGTATACTACCAACAAGGTTTTAAAATGTGAAAGGTGATATATGCCAAAGAAAAAAAATTGTTGCTAAATATAAGTTATTACAATCAATCACAAATATCATAATCTTAGGAAAACAGTTTCAGTTTGTACCCTCATTGCATTATACTTTTCTTTGTAATTCGGCTAGGTGACCGAGACTGGTGTATTGGTAGTGTTTATTAAAACCTGCAGTTTCTAGAACACGTAGCGTTTTATCTCTAAATTCATTCCTTTGAAAAAAAAAGTTTAAAATCATCACAGAATTTAATATCTTTAATAATATAATTTTATATTTATCATTAATGTTTTTGTTCCAACAACTAAATTAGAAAAAAAGAACACAATTTATTGATCAAAGGCTCTCAAAATTTCAAAGCTGCCTCAATCCGTTTTACTTTTTCTGGAAAAGTTAATTCTTGTTTTGATGTATTTCTTAAAATTAAATCTTTTTGGTTCTTGATGACATTGTTACTGATATGTTTTGGTTTTTGTTTGAGCTCTGCTTTGTTAGCTTCACCCTGAGAGATATAATGTTAAAATCGTCTCCACAGCAGAGCAAGCAACATAATCTTCCACTGCGATTACGAGGACTGACGATACAGCATAAAACAACACATTCCTGTAGCAACGACAATAGCTGTAGGTAATTTAGTGGAAAATCGTAGCTCATAATTTCGTTTGTAATTTCTTGTAGTTGAATTTAAAATTACCTACCCCAGTGAAGTCGACGAAAAAACGTTGTATGCAATTCATGTATAAATCAAAGATTATTGGTTCGTTCGAATTTAATCCACTCGCGCAGCGCTCGTGGACTAAACATCTCACTCACCAATAAAACGCCTCATTTATACACACATTGCATAAATAACTATTTTCATCTATATTTAATGCATTGAGTATATTAATATAGTAATAAAGTGTAAAGTACTTACCAAAACAATAATTATTTCGCCACAGAATGATGCACTATCGTTGATACAAACAAAATTCAGATTGTACAGAATTCAGAAAACTGTTTACTCATTTACTCAACTCATGGATAGATGGCGCAAGTGGTTTTACCTCGGGTTTTACTCTTTGCATATTTTTTTAAAGAATTTGATAGGTTTTTAGTTAATTTTTTAATGCACCCCACAGCAGTAATGATTTTCATATGATTTTATTCATTTTTAAGTGTCTAGTAAAAAGAAATTTGTTTAAATTTTAGTGTGTGGGGGTCTAGTTTTTTTTTTGCTATTTTTTTAGGTACATTACATATACGTCGATTTTAACATTTTATGTACCGCATTATTGATAGAATTAATGATATGGAGTTTTTTACTGGAAAAATGAAAAATATTGCGTGTGGGGAATTAGTTTTTATGCGTTTTTTTCATGTTGATGTATCATGATGTTTGATGATTTTAAGTGATTTTATTAGCTCCCACAAGATTTGGTCTAGCAAAAAATCTTAAAATATTGCTTGTGGGAGATGAATTTTTGTTAGTTTTTTTGTGAATTTTGGGGTGATGTGTCATGATTTCTTGATGAATTTATGTGTTTTTTTACCTCCCACAAGATTTATTCTATGATATTTGACAGTGGTCACTAGGTTGCAAATGCTGCTTTTTTGCTTGTGGGAAATCGGAGATGAGTTTTTTCCTAGTTTTTATGCGTTTTTTGAGGTAATGTGCTTAGATTTTTTATTATTTTAGGCTATTTTTTTATAGTTTTAGGCGATTTTCTTAGCTCCCACAAGATTTTGTCTTAGTAGTAAATTAATGTTTTTAAGTCATTTTTTTGCTTGTGGGAGATGAGTTTTTGTTGGTTTTTTTCTATATTTGAGGTAAATACAGCTAGAATTTGAGGTAAATACACCTAGAATTTGATGTTTTAGCTAATTTTTTTAGCTCCCACAAGATTTGGTCTAGTAGTAACATTTTACTTAAAGCCCTTTGAATTTTCTGTCTTTTTATTGAGAAGTCTGATCGAAAAAGTACGAATTGTTTTGGATTCTACGCAACAAAATTAATAAGAAAAAGTGTTTTCCCGAGAAATTTTGGTGCAGTCGATTTTTGGTAAAAAAGGAAGGTTATATACACTGCCTTTTTTTGAGGCCCGAAAAAAAAATTGTCTCAGATCGATCCGGAAAAACATTTTTCTTATAGAATGTGGCCTGTAGAATCCATAATTTCAAACAGTTCCAAGATTGGGCTGCTAGTTCAAAAGTTACAGCCCTTTGAATTTTCTGTCGAAATTGGTTTCTAGTCTATAACTTTTTATTAAGAAGTCTGATCGAAAAAGTACGAATTGTTTTGGATTCTCCGCACCAAAATTAATAAGAAAAAGTGGTTTCCCGAGAAATTTTGGTGCAGTCGATTTTTGGTAAAAAGGGGAGGTTATACACTGCCTTTTTTTGAGGCCCGAAAAAAAAATTGTCTCAGATCGACCCGGAAAAAAAATTTTCTTATACAATGTGGCCTGTAGAATCCATAATTTCAAACAGTTCCAAGATTGGGCTACTAGTTCAAAAGTTACAGCCCTTTGAATTTTCTTTCGAAATTGGTTTCTAGTCTATAACTTTATTGAGAAGTCTGATCGAAAAAGTACGAATTGTTAATTATATTGTGAATTAATAAGAAAAAGTGTTTTCCCGGGAAATTTTGGAGTAGTCAATTTTTGGTAAAAAAAGGAAGGTTATATACACTTGCTTTTTTTGAGGCCGGAAGAAAAAATTGTCTGAGATCGATCGGGAAAAAAACATATTCTTATAGAATGTGGCCTGTAGAATCCATAATTTCAAACAGTTCCAAGATTGGGCTACTAGTTCAAAAGTTACAGGCCTTTGAATTTTCTGTCGAAATTGGTTTCTAGTCTATAACTTTTTATTGAGAAGTCTGATCGAAAAAGTACGAATTGTTTTGGATTCTACGCACCAAAATTAATAAAAAAAAGTGTTTTCCCGAGAAATTTTGGTGCAGTCGATTTTTGGTAAAAAAGGAAGGTTATATACTGCCTTTTTTTGAGCCCCGAAAAAAAAATTGTCTCAGATCGACCCGGAAAAAAAATTTCTTATAGAATGTGGCCTGTAGAATCCATAATTTCAAACAGTTCCAAGATTGGGCTACTAGTTCAAAAGTTACAGCCCTTTGAATTTTCTTTCGAAATTGGTTTCTAGTCTATAACTTTTGATTGAGAAGTCTAATCGAAAAAGTACGAATTGTTTTGGTTTCTACGCACCAAAATTAATAAGAAAAAGTGTTTTCCCGAGAAATTTTGGTGCAGTCGATTTTTGGTAAAAAAGGAAGGTTATACACTGCCTTTTTTGAGCCCCGAAAAAAAAATTCTCAGATCGACCCGGGAAAAAATTTTCTTATAGAATGTGGCCTGTAGAATCCATAATTTCAAACAGTTCCAAGATTGGGCTACTAGTTCAAAAGTTACAGCCCTTTGAATTTTCTTTCGAAATTGGTTCTAGTCTATAACTTTTGATTGAGAAGTCTGATCGAAAAAGTACGAATTGTTTTGGATTCTACGCACCAAAATTAATAAGAAAAAGTGTTTTCCCAAGAAATTTTGGTGCAGTCGATTTTTGGTAAAAAAGGAAGGTTATACACTGCCTTTTTTTGAGGCCCGAAAAAAAAATTGTCTCAGATCGAGCGGGAAAAATCATTTTCTTTTAGACTGTGGTCTGTAGAATCCACAATTTCAAACAGTTTGAAGATTGGACTACTAGATCAAAAGTTACAGCTCTTTGGTTGGTTCTACTTACTCAATGCGAAACTAGGCTTGCATGCTGTCACTTTTGTGAGCTATATCCTTGGCTTGTGTTTATACACACGTCCCCTCCTGGGGCACCATGGTGAGTGGGGAGCTAAAGGGATGAATCTACTCTTCCTAACATGAATTAAAACTTTAAATACAACAGACGCTGTCCAAAACTAGCCAGAATGACCTGAAAGCAACCATTCGGTAGACCAATGCCGGTTCTCCCGCTTGCAGTATCCACTCATAACTCCATACCAAGGTCAAATGGGACTTGATCATCACAGAAGCAGTTCGCCGTTTGACGCGATTTTGTACAGGATTATCAAGGAAAAACCTGCGCTTGCTCATAGGCATACCTTTTGGACACTATTAATTAAATAAGCACAAAACACGTCCCTGCAGAGGTTGCAATACAGACGAGAAAATGGCTCACAACATTCTTTCCAAGTGTCCCACGCTCGTCCAAATGAGAGTCTATGTTGGGGGAATCATGGCGTGGGGTGCTTATAGTGACACTGGAGACAGACGACTGTAATCATGGAGGCGCCCCGACATTCATCATTCTGCTCCAAATCGAGAATTCGGACCTCGATTATTTTCAAATATTTATTGATAAGAGACTTTTTTACTGACAATTTCTATAAACTAAATTGCTAAATTACTCGTATTATAAGAAGGCAATACTTAATTATATTAGTAGAATATTAAGACAAACTCTGACAGCCACTCTCAAAATTGAGAGATTTACTTAAAAAAAAGACTGCTCAAAAAATGGGGTTAGTTGAATGATGGATCATGGTCAAAGTCATGTATGCGTCTGACTTCGATAGAGGTAAATTACGGTACAACTTAAATATTATTTTTTAAAATATCACTCGGTAGCTGCTGATTGCAGATCGTTTAATTTTTGTTTTAATGGTAATAAAATGATATTACTCTCTACATACTAATACTCAATATTCTATTCTATAACTGTAATTTACCTCTAATGTACACGAAAATATAAATGTCATCTAAACTATTACGGATCACAACGATGTGTGCGTGAAGAAATTCCCTCATAAGCTGAGCGTACAAGTATCATTCAATTCAAACAAAGTTAAGTATTTTTAGTTACATACTAAGGTATGTATTTTATCCGGCAGACCAACAATTTCATAAAGTTGTCCCTGCACCACAATAAAACAAAATAAACCCTGATTTACACTTTTAAAGCACAAATAATTTAAGTCAAGGCAGTTCCGATTTATAACTTCTGTATATATGCACTCGAATTTAAAAAGTAATTCAAAATAAAAGTTCCCTAAACTGTAAGAAATATCAAAAATTTTTTAAAGCATTATTTTTAAACAGCGAACGTTTTACATTTGCAACAAAACAGTTGCTCGTACACTATCACACTTCTTATGAAAAACGATCGGATGATCAATGGCAAAGCAAAGCTCGCTCTTTTTAGATATTAACAAATCAGTCGACTTCTAGAGGATACTACATCGAATCTGCTTAAAACGGCCGTGGCCCGGTATTCCAAGTTTCGGCGACTTGTGCTTCCCTCTACTCGCTTTGTCCTTACGAATCTCTCGAACTAATGTATAAAAGGCATCATCTACACCCATTCTAGTCTTCGCCGAAGTTTCCACAAACGGTATGCCGTACTGTTTAGCGACCTAGAAAATAAAACAAAATCAATTCAAAGTAAATTCGACAAGATTTATCACCAATCAATAAGTGCCAAGTGGAAACCAAACAGGTCTCCAAAAGCCCGAGTTTTTATGTGACGAGTCTTGCACAACTTAGATTTGAAGCTCGATTTGAAGTATAGTGTGAAGGTTAAATTTTGGAACAAACGTAGATCAGACAAGGTGAAAAAAACGATTGTGTTATATATGTTGCTTTTGTGTTGGCAGTTCAGGTGTTTTGCATTGAAAAGTAAAACAAGTGCAAATGTGCCACTGCACATATTTACAGTACATTCATTCACTTGGCATAAATAGTTAATTAACATTGTGTAGAGTATTCATTTATAAGTTATAGCTTCAGAATAAAAAACTTTTTTTCCCAAAAACAGTTTTAGCGCTAAATTTGTTACTACTCTGACATTCATCAAAAGTTCTATATCAAAATGGAAATGTTATATTAAAATACGATTTCAGGTAATACAAAACTCGTGAGTAAAATGACATTGCTTGACTCGGAAATTAAAATACTCGCCCCAAAGAGGCCTCATACTTCAATATTTCCTCGTCAGTAATATGCCATTTTCTTAACTTTTATGTAAATAAGTACTACATAGTTTTTAATAGTTATTTACATAAAAGTCAGGAAAATTACACATTACTGGCGAGGGAAGATTGAAGTGCAAGGCTCCTTTGGGGCCGCGCACTTTAATTTCCGAGTCAAGTAATGCCATTTTATTTTATTTATTTTATTTTTCATGAAATTCTAATTAAAAGTCTCAACGGCAGGAACCGTGTTCTGCCAACTACCGCTCTTCTTTCTCGCCCCTCAGCAGAAGAGACGGTTAGGGGTGATGGGGGGTGTGGAACTGGTTTTATGCGTCATGGTACTCTAATGAAAGGTCTCAACGAAAGGAATTAATTTATACCAAACATAGTCCTCCTCTTCGATCCCTTACCGTGATTGGATACATTCCCTTAGGTATATCTCCACAACAGATTGTTGGAAGAGGGTACTCACAGAGGGCGATTGGGACGTCTTAAAGAAATTATATCCATTGGAGATGTCAAAACTTTCTGGCCTACGAACCAGTGCATGCAGCAACATATTTTGATGTATATTTTCGCCGTTAATTGACCGTTTCCAGACTTATCAGCGACCCTGTATGTATATTACAGAGTGCTGCAGTCAGACGACGACTTTCTAAGGATTATCCTCGGGATTATCTATGATATCCACTCAATATCCACAAAGACATTACGGAAAGTTAATACTTTTAACCAAATACTCAGTAAATGATAAATGTTGATATTGTAGGATCAAGAATCCCAAAAGCTGCTTGACATGGAGCAATACAACGCGCAAGAACTTGCAGAAAGAAATTGCAAGGTCAAATCATTGCATGCAATAAGCATTGCAATGTATTTGACATGGTGCAATTCTATTTCAATTGCTAGATGTCTGCCAACAGAAGAAAAACATGGATTTGTCAACAAAGTTGCTAACCTCGAATAAAATTAAGTTTTGATTGCTTGAAGAATCATGCAAATTCCAAAATAAATAGGATTAATAATAACAAGTTAAAAAGTAATCGTAAACGATTTACATAAAGAGCATTAATTCCACTTGCATTCATTTCACATTTGTAAGATGCAACTCCTGCTAAAATCCGGCCACAAATATGAAAGATAGCGTTGCAAATGTGCAATCCATTTTTGACGACGTGCTACTTCAATTTCAGTTTATAAGAAGAATTTCATTTCAATGCTTTTCTAAATAAGAAAGTTGGAACTGCGCATGCGCAAACCTAAATTTTGAAACTGGCGCTTGATTTTCCTTTATTCCAAGCGTGTATGTATCAAATTTCGTTTAAATTCTTCCATAAATAAAAAAAGATGGCACTGCGCATGCGCAAAACCAAATTTTGAAATTGGTGTTCGATTTTCATTTATTCCAAGTGCCTATGTATCAAATTTCATTCAAATACTTTTATAAATAAAAAAATTTGCAATTTGGTTTAGAAATGGTCGAGATGCGAAAAGGGCACTGTGAATTTTGAATCGATTCGACTCAACTTTTGGCATTGCGTATTATATGGCTAAAGTTATGCCCATATTGAATTTCATGCAATTCAGTTCATAACTAACGGAGATGTAAAAGCGATCGGACATTTCTAAACAAAGTTATCGTTCACACGGACAGATAGAGGGGCAGACAGACAAAGGAACAGACGGACAGACCAACAGACAGACGACAGACAGTAATACAAAATTATAAACGATCTCTAGGATCGTTAATAAACGGCAAAAGTGTAAAATTATGGAACATGTAAAAAACGGTTTGTTGGTTTTTTTACAATAACTTTTTTTGTAAGCGGTACAGAAAAATTTCCTTCCTTGGTGCAAGACTCGACACCATAACGAACCAAATAGAGAAAAAAGTAGATCAATAGCTCTTAAGATAAAAAACGAGCGGACGGACGGACGGACAAAGTGGCCACAATAGCGCATTTTTTTTTATTTTTGAAATGCGCTAAAAAGTAGTCAGTGTGTCCCTCAGTATCATAGTTGTATTTTACTAGGTTGGTGACACAATCACAACTAGATTTATCCTTGGATTTATCCCTAGAATTGCGCAGTTCATGTAACAAACATAACCCTGGTTCGGTAAAAATTGCATGCAAGTCCCTTGCTGGTGCATGCCATTCGGAACTTCTGTTGCAACTTGCATGCAATTGCAATTTTTATTGCTCCATGTCAACCCAGGCTTAAATCTCATCCTGTAATAAATACAATATTTAATGCTTAATGCATAAATTTAGGTAATTCCGAGGGTAATTCCTTGTGGTTCTGCAGACTACTAGAAGAACTGTCTTACTAGAGGTTGCAAATCATACTATGGTGGTCCAAATGGGTGGGATTGCATGGGCAACTGTTATTATTGCATAGGCCGAGTTAATTTTTTGATAAATTTAAATTATTCTTTAGTCGATCATAGGTTATCTTTCATTTGTTTTTCACTGTTAAATAAAGAATCTCATAGAGAATAAAAAACACCATCTATATAGTCAATATTTTGTGAATTAAAAAGTTGGTACAGTATTCAATTTTCAATGGTTTCGGCATGGATTTAAATATTCTTAAATCAGCCCAATCTAACCTAATTTCTATCTTCAAAACTAACACAGTTACCTATGCAATACTGTGGATCTGGGACACCCGGTATGTGGGTACAGACTGAATCATAGAATAGAATGCACAACAATTCCCAAATATACACCTATTTGGTAGTAACCGTACAAAGGAGTCCTCGAAAAATGCTACCTATCGTTCCCGTCAGACAACTTACCTCTCTTGCTTGAGCCATATCAACGGCCCACGACGTAGATGATAAGTCGCACTTATTCCCAACAAGAACCATTGGCACTTCCTCTGCATCTTTCACCCTTTTAATTTGTTCTCTATAAGTTCCTATATCTTCAAAACTCTTGGCGGAATTAACGGCGAAAACTAGTAAAAACCCCTCGCCTGTTCTCATATACTGATCCCTCATAGCACTGTACTCTTCTTGACCGGCCGTATCTAATATATCTAATAGACATGTCTCACCATCTATAACTACTTGTTTACGATATGAGTCTTCGATAGTCGGATCGTACTCGTCCACGAAATGGTTTTGTATCAGTTGAATCGTCAACGCCGATTTACCGACACCTCCTGCTCCCACAACTACAAGTTTGTATTCAGTCATTTTAATGAATTACAAAAAAAAAACGTATCACTGCAATGCAATAAAGGCTAATAAACGATTAAGCGAGGTTCGCTATCCCTGCATATTAGTATACATCGATATTTGTGGCGCTTAAAGACTACGGAATAATTAAGAACACTTGCAAGTATTTAACTACTTTAATTAACTATAATGAAGAAACAACCGTAACTTAACTTTAACGAGCCCGTCAAAAAAAACTACTGACTTGACTGGCCAGTGGCAGTAATGCCAACTCACTCCCTTATCCCACCCATCAAGCCGACCGTCGACATAAAAAACTATGGAAATCCGCACTCAATCTGAATACGCAAATAGTCGTTGACGTCAATCGGCTGCTCTACTCGCAGTATTCAGTAGAATTTATTTTTAGTTTACTTTCACTTTCAAAAAATAAAAAGTGCACTTTTTTAATGGACTAGAAGAAATTTTATTCCATAGACATAGTCAGAACTATCCGTACTATCGGGAATAAAATTTCCTCTATTCCTACAGTACTCGTACAATGGAACTGTTCTGTTTTCCAATTTTCAACTTTCTTTTATCCATTTTTTAGCTCCCACTAGCTTATGAGCTAGAGTATTTTTGCTTCTTACTCTTTTTTCCCATCTCCAATAATCAAGCAAATATACGCTTGGATACGAAAAATCAATCGCACTGTATATTTTGGAATTTTTGAAAAGAGTGTAACATTGTCGTTTTAAACAATCCCACCATCTTTTGTTCGCCATGGAAACCTACGCCATTTCTTATTAAAAAATAGTGATATTATCAGAAAAAATGCTCATCACATGACACAAGAAAAAACGAAGTTGATGGTGGTTAACCGGGAACGAAACGTCAGACAAAATTTGAAACTAGCATCTTGTAGAGGGACTACTACTACTACTAAACCAGCACTCCCAGGATGGGATTTGATCTCTGATCCTGCCACAGTCCACAGGAGTTGATCCCTGTTCACTCGCTTTTGGAATTAGTTGTATCCGTAGCTATAAGTATCTATTTTATTAACGAGGTACTAATCAGTATATCAAGTCCCATTGAATTCACTTGTGCACTTTCTGAGTGTCGGCTTTAAACACACAGATGGACGCCAAATGTATATTATGGGCCTAGTAAAAAATAAACACCTTAGAAATCCTACTCAGCTTATTGGGAGCCAAACAAAAGCTTCGGGTTCATCCCATTCTGTACGGTATGTTCCAGATTCCGCCATGTCAAGTTCATCCAAGTGAATATGAATGGCAATGGCAATTTACTCATTATGCAAGTCTTTCTGCAAAATTTCTAATAGCTTTGGCTATCTATAGTTTTACACTTTTATAGGCGACCTTCCGAAATTTGAGCATTACCAACATAAGATTAAGAAAAACCCTATATGCCATACTAGTGTCACTTGACAGGAATATGTTTTTCGTAAATTTTTCCAAGTAATAATCTTTTTTTAATTATATAAATTAAGGTAATCGTGGCAATTGATTTTAGTGTTACGCTTAAACGAATGAATCGATTTGGTTTGCAAAGAAGTTATTTAGACTTATTTAAGTTTATTAATTACAAATTTCTGATTCATATTATGATTCATGAGTTGTAATTATTCAGAGTTAATTTTCAATAATGTCTCATCGAGGAGGTCAAGACCCACAACCAGGATACATGGACGAAGTGTGTGTGAAAATATCAGAAAAATACAAACCACCACCACGAATAAATCTCGCAATAACCTATGCTCAGAGATTATATTTAAATAAACAAATTCAGTACAGTATCATTCCTTATGACTTCTCCTTAGAAACAAGTATTAAAGACCGAGTAAGAGAATTGCGGAGTGCACGTAGACAACTTTATGAAGATCAAGCGGATCGGTTGAAGGAGGCCCGTTTAAAGTATGAACAATTCTTGGAAGACAAAAAGTCTAAGGAGAGCATTAGTAATGTGTCGCAAGAATCAGAGATACCAGAAGAGCAAATATTGAAAGCTTCAGGTACTACATCGGGGGTGATGTATCCTACTTCCTATTCTCATATTCTAACACCAACCCCACTATCAAATACAGACACAAAGGTGTTGTTTAAGTGCAACTCCAATGACAAAAGTCCTTTTAATATATCCGATTTTGAAGCAGACACATCTAGTCCCTTTGATAACATGGAATTGAAAACTATTAATGACATAGAAGAATTGGCCCAAGTTTTGAAAAAGGGGGAGACAAGTAATCATTCCTATGCCATCCCATATACAGATGCAGCAGGTCAAGCCTTTCCCAATTATGTGTCTCTTCCAAGTACGTCTGGACAGTCCACAACAGTTTCAACATACGCCGTGCAAGATACACGTAACTTACCATATTCTCCGTATATTTCTCAAACCCTCTCCCCCTACACACATTCCATTACTTCAAGGACTTACAATAATCTTAACGGATATTATTATACTAGTGACATTGTGCAGACAAATGTAAATCAAAATTTTAAACTAGATCAACTACCTTACAATTACGACAATTCCTCTAGTAAATTATCTAAAGAAAATACAAAAAGCATACCTGACATTATGAAGACTCTAGAATCTGAACTGAAAAGTACGAAAATTTGCCAAAATGGAGTACCAAGTGATCCAAATAAATCTCAAGAAAGTAGCACCGAGGTTGTTATTAAATCGATAGATTTAGATGATGTATTTAGTCATTTACCAAAAAATTTACAATATCTCTCCAAAGACATTAGCTTAATGGGATTTCCACTATCGAGGGTAGCGCGTGTTTGTCAAACCATTGGCGATAATCAAAAAAAGGTAATTCTGTTTGTTAATCCCAATAAAACTAACTGACCTTTTTTGCAGATTGTGGAACATTTGATAGTAATGAGCGAACTGTTGGATTTAGGCTTTTCCGAAGAGGAGGTGTCTCGTGCTTTATTGCAATGTAATAATGATCGTGATAAGGCGTTGGATATACTTATTTCGTAGCATTCACTGTTCACCATGGCTGTGCTGGTTTATTTATGATCACTATTTATTTGCATTTATTTCGCATACTCTTACATATTAATTTGCTAAGGAAGCACTGTGTTGGTTGTGCGCTCAATATGTTTATGCAAATATATTCCTGCTTAAATAAATAATCTAATGTGTAGATAGAACAGATATAGAATGGATGGGACTTCTACTTATGGATATAAGAAATAAATTTTCAGAATTTTTGTATTTTTATTCTTGATCATAGTTTTTTATCACAGTCCACAGTTTAACCTGAATTCTTAATTCTGAAATGAGCTCGTTAGGAACCCACCGATACTGCATTTGTGCCCAATCCAATAAAATATTTTCTAGTGGACAGGATTTGAGCCAAGGCTGCTCTACCAACCTAATCCACTATGCATTTACAAATATCCCTGAACCCGGATTTAAACTTATTAGTGCCGGCTAAAATTGTATGAAAGAAAACATTTGAACGCTCGCTAGATGTAGCCATATTGCAATATGCATTTTGTTTTAAGTTGTGAGAAATTGTGAAACGCCCACATATTTTCCATCTTATTTGTTGTTTCACAATTGGGTACTGTACTAGTATAATTTGAATTTCTTTGGTTTATATATGCTAGCTACTGAATGTAAACAAGCAAGTCAATAGTCTAGTCTTTCCTGAATTTATAGGAATAAATATATCAGGATGATGATATCCCGAAGCCCTGTCAGTTGTGTGGTGTAGGTCTATAGATACCAGTATGGTGAATCCAGAAGGAGATCATGTTGATCTGATCTTGGAATCATGTTTCAATACAAGCATAGCCAGGAACTTGGTAGTAGGCATATTACTAAAATTTGTCAATAATTTTGTCAGCTACCCCCCTAGCCCCAATTCTTGACTCCCTAACGAAAACATTAGAAAAGTTAAAAACCAGTAGTTAACAAATATTTTCTGGTATTATTTTGGAAGCAAGGAATCCGATGTATACTGCAGTACAGGTAGGTAAGCTATATGGAATGTAACAACTCAGTATATATCCTATATAATTATGGCAAAACGTGTAAAAGTACCAATCTTTACTAATGGTACGACCGGACGGTCATTGAAAGTAGCTACCATAGCGCAAAATATAACATTTTTAATTATTCCAAGGTGTGGAACACATTTCATACAGATATTTACTACATTTTAATAATCAATTAACTAAGTTAAGAGACCAGATCATACAAATAAAATGGCAGTAATAAACAAAAAGATATCCATTCTGAGTTGTTAATTTGAACGTACTACGGTTAATGTGCATGTCGTACGACATGCACATTAACCTATTCAGAAATACGCTGTCTATATGGGGTACAAATTCAAATCAGTAGGTAGGTATAGCCAATTCTGCGTGATGACGTGTATTTCTACGAAAAAGTGTTACTATACTTATTGATTTAAATTGGTTTATCTTCGTCTTTCAACCTACCCATTTAATTATAGAAAAATTGGAATTTATGGCTGAATTAGAATATTTAATGGAGAAATATGCTTTTGAGTTTTTGAGTATTTTATGATGCGGCCCGTAGATGTGGCAAATTGGAATTTATGGCTGAATTAGAATATTTAATGGAGAAATATGCTTTTGAGTTTTTGAGTATTTTATGATGCGGCCCGTAGATGTGGCAAATTGGAATTTATGGCTGAATTAGAATATTTAATGGAGAAATATGCTTTTGAGTTTTTGAGTATTTTATGATGCGGCCCGTAGATGTGGCAAATTGGAATTTATGGCTGAATTAGAATATTTAATGGAGAAATATGCTTTTGAGTTTTTGAGTATTTTATGATGCGGCCCGTAGATGTGGCAAATTGGAATTTATGGCTGAATTAGAATATTTAATGGAGAAATATGCTTTTGAGTTTTTGAGTATTTTATGATGCGGCCCTCGAGTTTGACATGCCTACTGTAGACGAGTACAAAAAAACGCGTGCAGAGTGCGTCCTAATCCATCGGGTGCTTTGCCCTTACCCTTAACATAGGGGAAGCTCTATGCCTCAACTACTTTATTTTGGGCCACAATCTGCACCCGTAGGATTAAAATATACCCTTTCTTGGTACCTACTATATTAGTCAAACATTTTATTATAGCATCATTAAAGCTGAGAAAAAATCACTACGGGTTTGTTAAACTTATTTTTTCAAAATAAATGAACTGGCGAGTGTGCTCGAAAATGGCCTTTTCCGTGTGTGGCCATAATTCCGCTATTTGTAGACCTACAAGAGACTTTGGCATCAAAAACTAATCAGAGCATAACTTTTTAAGCGGCTTTGTATCCGACATGCAATTTTTTAATAAATACGTTTTTTTTGTAGTAAAAGCAGTTTTTGTTTTTTAATCGGGCAAAGGGGGCCGGTATGAGCACAGTTTAGTTTTCAGAAAGAGAGGCCATATGGAAAGAAATTTGAGAACCACTGAGCTATAGTGGCTCCAATATGGATGCTTGCGATTAATATTTGGTATAAGGACAGGGCCGCCGATAAGGGGCGTCAGCCGGAGCATTTGCCCCGGGGCCCGGTCATATTCTGGGGGCCCGGCCAAAAGAGGTTTTGAAATCTGATTTTTAATTGTATTTTTTAACAGAAATCTGAATCTATATGAGAGAGTAGAATATTAAAAAAATGCACAGTAGAAGATTTAAAAAACCATACCATTGAGCAAAATTTCCTAATTACGCCACCGTGACAGAAGGCTCGCTAGGTCAAAAACCGTTTGAGATCGACTATGGGTCAAGATAGTTAGATCAATCTCGGTACATTAGCTCTTGAAGCTCAACTTGCTAGAGAAATTTTGAGCGAGTGATCACTTTTGCTAATAAGAAAATCCGCAGAGTTAAAATGTAATTTGAATTCTAACAATTCATAATAAATTATGAAAATTACTGTGTCTGTATTCAAATGTTCTCGTTTCAAATCTAAGTAGTCAAGATTGAAAATGTCCAGTTTAAGATAAGGGTGATGGATAACAAAAATTTCAATTATAGGGGCCCGGTCAAAAAATATTCCCGGGGCCCGTCGAGGCTAACGGCGGCCCTGTATAAGGAAATTCCAACGTATTTCTTATAAGCTAAAGGAAGCGAAGTGGTTGAATATGCAAAAGCGAAGGGATCTGCATAGCTTATCATAGCGTACGTATTTGTATGATAAAATAACTTACAGAACAGACGTTCATAATTTAAATTTGAGGTTCAGGGGGTTGATAAGTTTTTTGAAAAATGCTTCACTTTTAACATCTACAAATTGTATAATCCTCTCCCAAATTCTCTAAAATCGAAAAATCAAAAACAATTTAAACGCATGTGCAAGTCGATCATGCTACAAGCTCAGGTATAGTGGTCAGGTAGTGTGCTAAAATCGCGTAGATGTTACAATGTTACTGTACTGTACTTTTTTCTTTTTTTTTTCTTGTCACATGACGCATACAACTAAATTTATAACATTATGTGATCATTTAAACAATCGTTATGGGTTGAGTGAAAGAGCAGCGAGTAATTTTTCTTACAAGCTGAACTCCGCCCTTTGAGCTGTAATTATTACTATCACCTGTGCTATCACTTTCCTTTCATACTTTGCAGCTGCTACTCAATAAAGGCATTACTATTATTATTAATTTCCTAGTCATTTTACTGACGGGTTTTGTATTACATTCTACCTGAAATGTATTTTAACACTTTGACTGCTACACTCAATTTCTTAGAAAAGTCGATTTTTTTTAATAAAACATACAAAATAGGCGAATATACACATTCGCAATTAATTTGTTCAAAATTCTATAAAAATTTTTACTTTTGAGCGAATGTGATATTAAAAGTTCCGTTTTGCCCCCAGACCATTGACAAACATATCCTATAAGATTTCCTTGTATAGCCGATAGAGAGCTACAATAGGATACACAAGGCTCAATTTGCATATGTGTGTATTTTAATTACAATCTGTCAGTGACGACAGCAGTCATTATAATAGACATTTTGCAATATGACAGGTGCGGCCGCGGGCGGCAGGAAAAGTAGTCTCTGTCATGGAAACTAAAATATTCTGATATAAAGTAGGCAAGAAAATCAAGGTTTCATGACTGTGCTGGTAGACGTGTATTACAATCTAACTCTTGGAGGCCTTGTTGTATAAATAACTTTAATTTTGTTTACAGTAAAATCATGGTATCCAGAGGTCCAAAAGAAAAAAAAACTTGAAAACTCTAAACCTTATTTTATTTACATGTACCTAATCGCAGTGCGCTACTCACCCCAAGCCAGTGGGTGACGTGTTGAAGATCAATGGAATTTCTAGTCTCACAGACCTAGTTCTAAAAATAGATGATGCGTTATTGTCTGCTACTAAGTAGGATCCCACTTCACCGTTTTTGTGTAATCTGAGTTTTTCAACATTTGGACCATCAGCTCCAATTACCTAGGATTTTCAAGACCATACTGTGTCATACCCAAATAATGGAATTTTCTAATGATGTTCATTGTTTTCACTATGACTTTTTGCATGTTGGTGTGGTATGTATGATAAAACTTGTAAAGCGTGTAGATGATGTGTAAATGTTGTGGCTGTTAATCCATAACTGTTACTGTTATTAAATTCAAATTTATCTGTGTAAATTGGCAAAATAAACAGGCAATGACTTGCACTGGCGATTATATAAAAGCAGTAAGTAAGTAATCAATTCCTTTTTACTCAAAACCTGCATCACACATTTGCTCAAAAATAACACATCAATTACAAAGCAATGATAATCATTTAAAATTAAAATGTATAACAGAAATAGTAGTCTTTATACAATAACCTAAGGTACATATATGTTAATTCTTAAAATAAAATAACTAAATCTAAACATTTGTACTTTTCCTTCAAAGTCTTAAAATCTAATGACTATTTGCTTCGGCATCAAGCATATACTAACTGTGTTAACTGTATATGGTGACTTTAAAGTTTACGGATGTGACAGTGATATCAATGGCATTATTTAAAGTATATGGCGATACTTAAAAAAATATAATAAATAAATGCTGAAATTATTATGTGTATGGATCACATAGTTGAATAAATTATAAATATTGCAAAACAACAATACCTAAAACTTTAAAAATCGAGATATAAATAATATTGTAAATTGTATAATATAAAATAAATCAATAACTTCCCATATTTTATAATTTTTTTAAAATACTAAATGAATCGACGAT